TATGTATTCAAGATAAGTAATTCAACGGTTTAGTATAAAGATTTTATAGCGCGATTGACATTATCTGTGTGAACATTGACCCTGAGCATTGAGATGTAGTGATCACTTGGTAGGTGAGTCAATACGACCTTCTGATATCCAGTGTACTACGACGGATGTCTTTTATGACTCGACATACATTTGTTGTTGGTTGTGTAATGTTTCGTCTAGGGGATGTTCGTTGAGGGACCACAGATCGACATTGAACCACAACGCCTTCCATTGTGCCTTATCAGGGACACTCGATTCTATTATAATAATAATTACAGACTACAGTTAAGCTTACTTCCGATGTAAGTCGGAGCACTTGGGAAATACCAATGTATTAAAACACAGTGTTAACAGATTTTGAGTCAATGTTCAAATTATTTAAGTGAAGGAAGAAGGTCATAAGAAATATTACTCGTATCTTCCATTACATTATGTCTACAGAAAGCGTTTTAGATGAATAATATAGTTGTGTATGGGAAAGTACCAATGATTCAACGTATTACTTTCGAGTTAACGGCACCTGCCTTGGAATAAAACTTCAAACATCCGTAAATGAATGATACACGAACGGCATAATAATATTTAACGTATTTTAAATTGAACTGTTATATTTTAATTATAAATCACGTGAAAAGTGTTACACTAATATTTACTTTGAGTGTTTTGGACTTAAAATCAATAATTATTTTGTGCTTGTGTTATAATTAAACATGAATGATATATGACTTTGTGATGTACAAATAAGTGGTTGTATGGTTTGCTTTAATACTACAGCGTCAGGTCTTGATTTAGCTATAACATGTTAAGGTGGTATAAGCCTAATTGTAACCATTGATGTCATGGTATGCCATCCATGTTAATTACTATGCATGGTACTTGACGTTTATAATAAGTTAGGTAGCCTAATAATTATAAACAGCACTGTTATTATACTTGTCAGCTAATGAGTATGTGCGCGAAAAAAACGTGCACTTTTTACGTCATTACTTTTGCTGTTTGTAATAGTTGAGAAAAATAAAATAATAATCTAAAATTGTTTATTATAAACTTTATGTTAAATACAGTGTTTTGCTCTAGGCACTGACTATGATTAAATAAAACAACCATTTTTATAATTAAAAATTACCTTTGTAAAATTAAGTGTTGTGTACTTGATATACAACGTATGTATACCGTAGGGGTTACATTTTACTATAATAAAATAATAAATATATGTTTACTAATGTAAGACTTTATAGTTCCTTACTTTCTTTTTTTCCCATCAACTTTTATAGACACTATTGTTTTATGGATGAACCAATGCAACTATCACCTCAGCTAATAATTTTGAAAATAATTAGTTTTTATTTATTCGTAATAATTAGTTGTAAAAATTAGTAATTAGTGACATTAGACAGATCATTTATAAATATATATATATATTTAAATGTATATTGTATATAAATGAAGCGGATATTTCGGTGTAACTTATGTTTCATTATTAGAATTTAAATTTAAAAGGCTGTAAGCTTACGAACACTGGGTTCGTCATCAATTTTGAATTTTACAGTAACGCTGAAACAGACCAATCCACTTTGATAAAAAACGCTTGAATTACCTAGGTATAGAGATTTGTAAATGTTGCCTAAAATAACTAAGCTTTATTAGAATACAAACTAACCATTTCCTAAAACTTCTGAAATGTGTTAAATTAATTAAATTCATGTGACAGGTTTGATATCATCTGTCTGATATCTTTGTCCATTATTTAAATAGTACTATTTTTATCACATACAAATTTAAGTATGATTATCTTAAAACTAGTAATCGCTTTGAGTTAATTGACCAACTAAAAATAGACATTAAAATATAGAATTCAAAATTGCCAGCGTTTACAGTTTTCATTCATATGCAAATTCAATTGTATTTTAGTTTTTGTGATGCAATTAGGATTTTTTTTTATTAAAGTTGATTGGTCCTAACCAAGGTATGAACTTGGCTGGATTGTCAAAGTCAAAAGATACCCGTTATGGCCTCAACGTGTTTTTAGGCTGATTTCGCGAAACCCGTAAGTGCTTCTAATTAATAAGTAGGGAGTATTCGTCAAGCATTTTTATTTGTTTACAGGAAGACGGTCATTACGATAAATTATTCGCTGATGCTACGTCACTGCTGACCGTTTTGGGTCAAAGTCAAGGTCTTTTATTACACAATATTTATAACGAGAGACTTTCATATAATCGTAAAGCGTGAAATGGAAATTTCTTGTCAATAATTATGACTGTAATTATCGGATTTACTATTGACATTGAAACACATTAAGAATCTCCTGTAGTTATTGTATCTATATTATATGCATGCTTTTTTTTATGGTTTACTCTAAAGCGTTGATAAAAATCACTCACGAAAGTATGGAAGTTAATTAACAAAAAAAGCAATCAGCCATAAAATTTTGTTTTAATATATGTTATTATAATGTAGATATGGGAATGCACAGACAATAGTAAAACGTTAGAACAAGAGTGAAGGATATGATAGATACATATAATAGAGCTACATAATAAGAGATAGGATAAAAGTGGCTAAAAGATTTAAAGTGTTGAACATTATAATTTAAAAATGTATACCTAATATTATTACAATTTTTATAAACTATTGAAGTATGAATGAGCTGGCTAGCTGTTGTGAGTAGTACAAATCATAGCATATTTTTTATTGTTTCTTCTTCGTGTTGTCACTTTACCTGAAATATACCAGTTAAGCTCAATCAAACAGTCGACGTTTATGCTAATCCTAGTTTAATGCAATACAGTAACTTATACTTTTTAGATAGTGGTAAACAATAACAAAAAAAAATAACTATCTATTTACTTTTAATGATAAATTTATTGGAACAAAGCAATAATGTTTATAATTACGTAACCTAAATTCCATTCAATTGTTTATCGGAGCATAAATACATTACGTAACAACATATCCAGTTATTTAAAATATACATACATATTCGGAAACAGCTTAAGCAGCTCATGTAGGGCCATCGATTTTCTTCTTAGGGTTTACTGGCAGATTTGCTATCTGGTAGGAGTCACCGAAGAGAAGAATGTCGGATCCTTTTTTACCAGACTATTGACAGAACCACTCTTATGTGGTTTTTAATTTATTGAGCATACCATGATGCAGGTTTAGGTATAGTTTTAAGTCAAAATCTAAAAAAAAGTTAAAGGGGGTGATGGATATGAAGTTGGATACAAAGGATGATAATATTGCAATTGTATTTATTAACCCAGCAAAACCGAATACATGGTCAGCTAGTCCATATACCTAATAGAACTACCTACTAGATTCTTGTTTAGTCCTATTTAAGGGGCGTCAATTCAAAACAAAATACTTCTAAAATTAACAATATTTAGTAAAATATTCATTTTTGTAGGAAACAAATTAGGAAATCGAATATCACCATCAAATTTTGTCTCAACACATATTCCGCACGATGTCCTTTGTTGAAAACAATTATTTAAAATTCATTGATTGCTGCAAAACGCACCATTGTCAAAGATAAAAGTACCTAGTTCTTAATGGTTTACATAATTAATTAAGACATTTTAATTACTCATCTATATTTTAATTACATTTATACTTTTAGCTATCTATTAACAAGGGCGTACAATAAGCTGCTTAATCATAAATATATTAGGCGCACGCAGAAGAACTAACGAACAAAAACATTATACACCCATTTTTTTTTTTAGCGTTAATACATATTATGTACCAGCACTGGCTGACCCTTTCTATCAAGTCTATTGTCTCAATATATTATTATACATCTGATCACCTTAAAAATCATCTTTTATGCTTATTGTAATTAAATATATTACAGATTGTATAATTTTCAAATAAAAAAAAAACATACATATTATGTAGGTATATATTAATCTATGCAGAATGCGTTTTACTTTTTAGAGCAAAATTACTTAAAATATCACTATCTAAAAAGTAATACCAGTAATAATGTATGAAATTGATGAAATGTTTGGATAGAATGTTAATGTTGTTATGGATCATGGACACAAAAAAAGAACACATCATTACAATATCAATACCTTCTCAGCTATCGAATCGAAGCTAAAAAGGTATTATCTTCACAAGTGTTAATTAAATTGATATACTAATTCTGTGATTATATAACAAGTCATTCACTTGCATTCAAGTTTATGTTTTAATAGTTTTGTATATGTTAGTGGCTTTGAAGAAGTTCAATGGATGTTTAACACTTTGTTTTTAAGATATTCGGTTTGATTATTAGGTGTGTTAATCGTCTTTGTAAATTAAATTAAATTTAGGACATTTATAAGGTTGATAATTTGAATAGAGTTATCAACTAAATAATCTAGAAAAAAACAAATGTTTTTATTGGTTGGTTTAATTTACATTAATTTGGAAGCAAACATATTGCCGACATCTTCTGGTAGTAAAAACAGTAAACCTAACGTTGACCAATTTTAGAATTTGTTATTTTTTTTATCGATATTCTGAGGGAGCTTTAAGAATTATTAAAGGATCTGAACTTCTCCAGCCCATCTTTCTAAAAATTAGTACCTATATCTTAAAACACTATTTTTATTTATAGCAAGGAACCCGGATGCAGCCCTTTCATTATTTAACAATTCTAAATTTTTTTTTATTTAGCCATAAAGGCGCGGTAGTTCAGATAGAGTCAGATAACTTAGTAGTGCAGCAACCGCTCTGTAAGTAAAATACTAAGGTTGCTGCTATTTTTTTCTAGGTTTGCCACATTTTTAACATAGACATGTGGCACGTATCCATATTATATTGTTGTTTAACGATTACTGAAATTAAACAGTTTTGTTGACATGGAAATTAGTTAATACGATGTAAATATTATTATATTTTCATTGTATTGGTACCCGATACGTGTATATTATTCTAGTGATTTATTTTAAATGATAAAAAAAAAGATAAATCCTGTTGATATGAAAAGTATAGCTTATTGTTCAGACGTAAATCGTTCGGTGTTGTTGAATAATTTTGAAAAACGCGGCTGGGTACATGTGGGCCCAGAAGACAAATGGAATCTATACTGGACTAATGTACATACTTGCCGTAGCTTATTTAGTACTGAACAATATTACCGTCTGGAAGAGGACCAAATTATTAATCATTTCTTGAACCATTACCAACTCACGCGAAAAGATTTACTTATCAGGTATTGCGAGTTGCCATTTATATTATTGTAGCGCTTGTAATCTTATCAACTATTTAAAACTGGACTATTATTTTAATTTCGTAATAAATTAAATTAAATCAATTTTGTCCACTTGTCAAATTGAGATAAAAGACTCGAGATATTCCAGATACAAAATTAACTCATCCTCTCTTTATATGGAAAAACTTATAGATGGAGGGGGGAGCTGTTGATCTCATGACTACTCTTTTATATGAAGTAAATTGTATAGACAATTTTATTGACTGATGATTGACGATTGGCGGATGATAGATATGTTTTACTTTGTTATGAAGAGTCACTGCATTGGTTATGAGTTTTGCATAATGTGATGTGATGTGGAAAACGAAAAGAGACCTCGTGTCGGCATTTTCCAAAATTGTCTATTGTATTGTTGTACTATTCTCTGAACCTAGATTGTTTTGTGAATAATTTAACACCTGGTATATCTTAGAAAATTATCAAGTTTTTGCACTTTGAATTTTGTGACGTAGTCGGCTGACAAGAGGTCTTTACTCTTTACCCGAGATCTACTTATACTAATTCTGACTATTACTCGATTGGAGTCGACGTTTCGACCTATACCCTAATCTCAGAAACTCCGAGATACAATTATTGACACTCTGTAAGAAATGTATATTTTCGACCTTTATCTATGTTTTGTGTTTTGCCTTAAGTCAACGTTGCTGACAAGAGGTCCCTTACTGCTTTCCGCATCACCTGTGCTTATGTTTTTCATTGTACGTCAATACTGCGTTAAACTTTTGAAACAGAAACATCAGACGGTATCGGCGAGAAATGCTGAACAATAGTACCTCGAATGTAACTCGTACGGTCGGCACTGTTGGCCAGCGGTTTCATTTAGATATCATACCAACGACTTACATACTGCCTGCCGATTACCATTTGTTTCTGGAAGAGTACCGTAAAAATCCGAGTACTTGGATCATGAAGCCGTGCGGTAAATCACGAGGTGTCGGAATATTCTTGATCGACAAGCTATCAAAGCTCAAAGAATGGTCCACAAGCCGAAAGCGTTTCACTCGTACCCCGACCTCCAAAGATACCTACATTATATCGAGGTAACATCGAAAACATTCTGAAATGGAGGGATTCATTACTTTGTAAGAGGAAGTTTAGTGTTAGCGTCTTTTGTAGATAAGACGAGGAAGAACGGATTGAGGTAGTTTGGGCATACAACGAGGAAATATGAGGATTCTAGGATTAAAGTATTTATTCTTTTACATTGTTTGTCCGCCGATTCACAGGTACATAGATAATCCGCTTTTGATATGTGGCAAAAAGTTTGACCTACGCCTTTATGTTTTGGTCACTTCTTTTCATCCTCTCAAAGCGTATCAGTTCAATTACGGGTTTTGCCGTTTCTGCAGCGTCAAATATAACAGTCATGTTGACAATATCGACAATCTGTTCGCACACCTGACCAACGTGTCCATACAAAAACTCGGTAATGAATACATTATAATTAATAAGTCGTTGTAGATATAAGGATATGAGTATGATGAATTCCACTACCTATTTATTATAATTACAAATTCCCTTATAATTTAAACATTTGCCGGTCGTTACTCTAAAATTTGTTCACATAATGAAACTTTGAAAATAGACTTATTGATTTTTAGGCGAGGAGTACAACAGTGTGCATGGAGGGAAATGGTCTACAGAAAATCTAAAACTATACTTGAACAGCACTCGAGGTGAAATAAACACTCGGGCTCTGTTTGAAAACATAAGCTGGATAATCGTACAGTCGTTGAAAGCCGTTAGCAGTGTAATGTCAAACGATAAACATTGCTTTGAATGTTATGGCTATGATATTATAGTCGACAATAATCTTAAGCCATGGCTCATAGAAGTCAACTCATCGCCGTCGCTCTCGTACACTACTCATAGCGATCGAATGCTCAAATCCAAACTCATAGATAACATATTATCAATAGTTCTACCGCCATCAGGTATGTATTATGAATTATTATGATTAATAAAACCTGTGTTTATAAATAATATTAAGACCATTAGATATAAGTGAATAAAGCTCAAGGGTGGGCGCTACAAGCCCTCGATATTCGAACCTGGGCAATTTTTGAATTAGAAAAATAATAATTATTGTAAAATAATCAGTTATTTAAAATACATTTTTATCCAGTGCATCAAAATACTTTGTACTTGAAAAACATTTTTATGTAAGGTTTAAGTACAAAGTAAAAAATATCAATAAGAAGTACTAGTTACTACTTAGTGAAATACTAAGTAGTAATTTTTTCTAATTGATTGTCACTCGACATGATGCACATGATGCATACACAATAACACATTAAGTATTTTTCGCTTACTATTAATCAAATAAATTGTTTCCGATTTTAATTTTATAAATATTAAAAATACTATATAATTTATAGGAATTCCGAATTCTCGATGGGATAAGAAACCAGCACCAGAAGCTCTGCATAATTTTAGTGTGTTGATTGACGAAGGTTCTGTGACAAAATGACATCTACTAAATCGGTTGTTACAGATAGTTATTTAAATGCTATAGGACTATTATTATATTATAATGTATACGTAATCGCGTGTAACATCTAATAAATACCAAAGTAATACTATAGTATTGATTAGAGTAATAACTCATTATTAACCTTTAAGTTGACAAACCACTGTAATTCGACAAATTCAGTTAGCCTATCAATTAAATTATACATTAATCATTATGGATTTTATATATTAATATTAATTAATTAATTTTACATATTAGATTAGTATACAGATTTGTGATTTGATATTTTTTAAATATCGTGTACAGTAATTAAGTTCGCATTATAATTTTTCCTACAACATTACACACATTATTTTGATTTTGGAAACAGTATAATAACAGTTATAGGTACGCAATAAGTGAATTTAAAGGTTTTGTTGAATTATTGAAAGTGAATATGCGGGTTTACTTGTTCGTACATAGAGGTACAAATTAATGTTATATAGTATATAATTTTGTTTGAAAACCATAATTTACTCAATGAAAATTGCCTATTTGAACTTGATGTACATGTCCTCGATTTGCGGTGCGAAGTACGACCTCACTTGTGGCCGTTTCATTTTGAACGTTGGCGTCAACAGTCCGTTTTGCACGGAGAATGGATCGGGATGCAAATAAATATCTTTAACCTTTGAAAAAATTGATGGACGGTCAGTTATAATAATTTAATTTATTTAGAAAAGGTAAAATCGTTGGATTACTTGTTCAAATGACTTCAGACCACCGTCTTTTCCCCATGCCGTCATATCGTCCATTATTAGTTTTTTTACTTCCTGGTTAGCGCACAATACCGATAATGTACCGGATATACCGTTTTCATGTGCCCAAGACTTAATCACTTCAACTGATGGAACGACTATTGCTATGATGCAAGACTAAACAGACAGGAGTTTTTTTAATTAATTTTGTATTTAAAACTAATAAACTATAGGTTTTTTCGATGTGTTTTTTTACAATAAATAAAAAAGTAGGTATAATTTTTTATTAAAAGGGTGATCAGAAGAAACCAAATACATTAGCTATTAAGTATTAAGTGCTGTTAAGGAAATCAGTTTTTTAATAATATTTATTATTTTTAAATTGAAAGTAGAATATATTAGGTTAGGTAAACTATTTATGAAAACATCAACATTTTTTTAAAAATTATTAATGCAGTATGATAGCTGTTGTTAAACTACTTTAAATGTCTCAACATATACACAATAACATTTAAATAAAACCAAATGTTGTGTTATTTTTTTATTTCATCTAGTAGGTATAGCTAGATGTAAATGGGCTTTAAGTTGGCGCGGAGCCAATTTGAATGATAAATTAAGTGTAACAAAAATTGTAGAAATCTAGTTTTAATTAAAACTATTTAAAAAGTGACAACTTCAACTTATTGGTATTCAGTTTATAGTTATAATTTTTAAGTATTAACTTAATTAAAGTTTTATAATGTCAATATTATGGTCATTTGATTAACTTATACACTTATTTTGGCAAATGTACCAAAATATTATTTAATTACAATTATTCATGTTTTTTTTTTTTAAATAATACTTTTACTGAAAACAATTTTTTAGGTTTTTATTAAATTTAGATAGATTGTTATGTAGTTTGTAAAAACAATATTACCTTTAACGATTCTCCATGAACAAAAACTTGATGGACATACTGGCTCTTCATATAAATTGTTTCAATTTTTTCTGGAACAATGTATTCACCTTGTGATAATTTAAAAATGTGTCTCTTTCGGTCAATTACTTTAAGCGTTCCATTCTTAAAAAAAATTTCGTAAATATTCAATAAATTGTTTTTTTCTTCTTCAATGGATGTTACATTGAATGAATTTTTAATGTATATACTACATTAAACTTACTGGAAGCCACATGCCTATATCTCCAGTATGATGCCATCCGTGCTCATCAAACGAAACGGTTTCGGGATCTTTGAAGTATCCTTGAAAAATATTCGATCCTTTCACGCAAATCTCTCCTTGATTCGTTGACGCGTAGTACTCCATTTCTGGTACGTCAGCTAATTTTACTAAATTGCAAGCCACGGGTGGCCCCACATGTTCTGTGTTCATATCCCCTTGAATCGATAGTGTTATTGGGGCAGTACATTCAGTCTGACCGTATCCCTCAACCACCTGATAAAAACAATAGCGGCATGGTTATAAGTTTTATGCAACAATGCAACATGCAGCCTTTCGATGCAGCCCCCGATGTTGTTCTAAATCAATCTTCAAGACTAAACATTTATTAATGGATATACGTTTACGAGGAAACGTTAAAAACAAGTATCTACAACAAAATGCAACTTACTAAACATCCTAAAGCACACCTCATAAACGTCAAAACGTGGCCACCTAAAGGTGCCGAACCGATTATCATTAATCTCAATTTTCCACCCATGTTCTTCTGTAAGTTACTGAACACTAGTTTGTCCCACATGCTGTTTTTCCGAACGATACCTCTAGGAAAAAGGAACACGGAATTAAGCATCCTGAAAAATGCAAATTGATTACAAGTAAGAGACAAACCAAACTTTTTAATTTCGTTTTCTTTCGACCGGATTGCCATGTTATACATTAGTCGTTTAAAAAACCACGGAGAGATTGTAGACATCTGTTGTTCGTAAATACGGTTCAACATGCGAGGTACACTAGGCATGATAGTCGGTTTAAGGACTCGCATGTCTTCGAAAAGAAATTTCACATTGCCGCAGTAGAAACCCACTGCGCCGCCGACCAAATACATTCCGTTCTGCAAAAGGCATATAATGTGGAAATAAAAAAAAATAGACAAAATAGATTTCCCATTAGCTTGTCACACACTTCACAACATCTCTCCAGCATGTGGGCCAGTGGTAAATAAGAGATCATCACATCCCCGACATTTGGCCTGTAGTGAGCGAGTTGAACGAGGACAGCGCTGACCGCTGCCACGACATTGCCGTGTGTCAACATCACCCCTTTTGGCAGTCCTGTTGTGCCTGAAGTGTAGCACACTGTGCATAAATCGTTGGGTTTCGGTGGCTGTTTGACAGTAAAACAACATGATTGACTCCTAAAGATCATATTGGTTTGTTTACCTGTTCCGGAAATGTTTTTGACGCTCCCGACTTTTCCACCTCTTCGAATGTCAGTAACTCAATACCGCGGTTTCTGGCTTTCTGATTGGACGATGGCCGAATGCCACGAATGACGACAATTTTCCGTAGACATTTTGGAGACCTGTCCAAAAGCTGATTACATTTCTCGTCCGTGTCGACTACCACAACGGTAATGTCCGCTGTAATAGAATTTCTTTGACATGGGATTCAATCATCACACAATATGATTTAATATCTACACTTTGTTCAGATTTCTGACATTGACAAGACGATTCTATAATTATTTTTGATAAATAAGTGTTTTTTATTTTTATTATGAAAGTAAGGTATTTCGACGATATTGAATATGAAGTGATTACGACTGTGTATAGTATCTACCATCAAGGTGGTTTAGTTATTTAAGTTCAACATTTCTTAAATTATATTTACTCTCTTTACCCTATTTAATTAAACTTATCTAATAGTATTTTCAGTATTTTTTTTTACATTTTTTTTTTTACCTTGATTAATAATAAAAGAACAGGCCTCTGGGCCTAACGTATCATATAGCGGCACTATCACCATCGAAAAACAATAAGCTGCTTGTTCTGTGAGAATCCATTCTGGACAATTTTGGCTGTAAATCCCAATAAACATTTGATTGCTTTTCGGCAAGCCGAGGCCTAAGAGACCCGAACCAAAATTCCGAGCCCGGAGCAAAGTCTCGTTGTAATGAATCCATTGAAACGGTTTGCTGATGTTTTCTCTCCAGCCTAGGCATTTTCCATTGTCTAGACAAAATATGCAGAAATATAAATTTAAAAAATACTATAAGCAATATATTGAAAAAAATATAATATTATTTGTTACTGGAAATTTTTGCGCCTTTCCGAAACGTCTCGTATAGCGTTTTGGCATCAGGTGCTATGTTGCTAAGAAATTTACCGTCTTTGCCTTCCTTGAAAAATTTTGAAACATGAACAGTTTCTGGTCCCTAAAAATATACTAAAATTTTGACAAGGCCAATTACAAAAAGGGCAAATTAAATGGAGGCTAAAAGGCTGGTTGATGATAAATAGTCGTTTCTTCAGTAAACACCTCGTTATATTATATTATTGTACGGCTTTTTCCTTTTTTGCTAAATGTTATTTTTAAAAAATAAGCTTATACGTAGGTTGCACTTAACCTTGACACGAGAGATATTTTGCTTAAAACCTATTACCCTAACAGTCATATGTTATATTTTTTGGCAAACCACTCAATCGATGACAACCGATTTGACGATTACTCAGTGTGATAAAAATTCAATCCGGTATTTGTTAATATCGTTGACACTGTAAATCATGTATTTTAGGTCATTTGCATGGTAAAGTTAGTTTAGTTTTACTTGGCAGTCTTTTAATTCAAACGATTGGCACAAAATACCTTTGATAACCTAATAAATATTGATCAAATACCGCATGAAACAAATCAATATTTTGGCATATGTTCTTTATTTTCTTATATTATTGATATAAATAGCAAACAAAAACAGAAGTGATTGTTAATTGATTTATTGAATATTTATCAATATTTTGTTGAGCTATTTTTACTATAGCAATAATAGAAATCATAGATGGAAAATGACCTTACTTCTGAAAATCTATTTTTAGCAAAAGTATGTATTCTCACAAAATTTGTTGAAAAATATTTTTGATTTTCTATAATTTCCTAGGTAATAATATTACAATTTGTAAAATTTTATATACTGGACAAATATACACAAATATAAGTCTAAAAACTTTAAATTCGCGTTTCATCTCTATGCTTTTAGAACCTTTCTTATTTAAAATAATATGGTAATCATAAAAATGATATCCATCTTGTTCAAATGTTTATCAGATTTTCAGCGTTTACAATACCTGGTTTCTGCTATTTATTTTTGTTAGACCAAACTGTAGATAGAAGTAATATTAATTATATAGCAGTACTTTACTTATTTGAGTTATTTCACATATCAATCATTAAAATACAACTACCAAAGATATTGAAATTTGGGCAACTTTGAATATTTTTTTAAGATGCAGTTATAACATATAAAATTTAATCTGTATATCAATTAGTATTAATCTTATGCGTAATTAATAATCGTTATTATCAGTATTAGCTTAAAATCATCATTCAACTATAAAGCTAAATAATTCATTTTTGCATACTGTATTTCATTTCACATTTTATATTTTAAACGCTGACCAAGATACATGGTCGAGCATAAATACTAGGCGATGTGTAAAGATCTTCGTCTCATGTCAAGATGACAGCGCGTAAATTGTCTTAACAAAACGATTTTTAATAGCTTCAAAATATCTTTGTAGTTACCAAAAACGTGTATAAAATGTTCGTAGTTGTACACTTATTTCCCTAAAATATGATGTAAGTACTATTAATACTGCACAAATTAAAATATAAAACTTAAAAAAATAGAATGGAAAAAGTCGTATTGGTTTTATTATAATTTGACTAGATATTTAAACTAAAAGAAAATATGTAAATTTATATAATTTATACAGATTGACAACTACTAATTTTAATTAACAAAATTAGTATTTCAGATCAAAAGCCATTATATGATATTCAAAATTTGATAGTGTCTGTAACTGGTTTACAAACAAATAGTATTAATCATTTTAGCAGTCTAAACGAACGTAAAAAAGGACGATATTTTGTTTGTGTTAATCTAAAAATAACAATATTCACATTTTTTTTTAAATAAAATTTACACTTTTCAAAACATATTCTGCAAGATATGCCAGGATTAACATTTTTCAGAGTTAAAACAAGTAAATTTGATAATACAAATTATATTTTGTTTTTTCAAAAAACTTTTAAGCTTTGAAAGGCGGCGAAAACAATTTTTTTACAATATTTATAAGCGAACACGTTAAATTATTGGTTAGTTCATAGTTTTAAGTTTATTCCATTAATGATGCTGAGACAATTATCTAATCCAATAAAACATTTTTAAAACAAATAGAATACTCAATTACTTCTATTCCCCTACAGTTTTACTTAACCACAAACACTGAAATAAAAATCTAGTTTTTTAGGTCACAGTGTTTGAATGAGTTTAATTTTATTGCATATAATTTTTTTTTATAAATATATGATACTATTGTATATTTTTAAAAATTTGTTAACATATATTTTTAAATAATTTAATAAAAACAAAGCCGATTCTACAGATTTACAAAAAACAATAATGTAATTTCAACACGGTGTTGTGGACACGAACCGCATAGCATTGTTACGTTTTGAACACACTCCAAATCAGCGTTAAGATCAGAAAACATAATTAGTATATGTTTGACAGCTGATTTTGAAAATCTAAGTTAAAATGTTTAAAACATTGTTACTTCACATGTATACGAAAACCTATACGGCTAACGGTGTGTTGGCCAAAAATAGTCGCACGTTCTTATAATAGTCATTATGTTTCGGCAAAAGTTTATTTTAGTTTTATAATTTTTATACTGTTTATATTTATTTTTCATAAAATGGTCGTTAAAACAATATTTTTAAACTTCTTGGACATTTGATTGTGTACCTACATTTAATAATATTAATTTATCGTATAATTTTCATGGTTAAAGTTTCATTACAAAAAGTTGTGGAATTTAAAGACAGACTATTATTATTAAGCCCTAGCCCCTGTCCGTATTAAGGTTGAAAGTTACCTGTTACCTTTAATATTTTTCTCTCCAAAATAAATTAAAAAAAAAAAATCTGGCGTTCAAAAATGAAACAATACAAAACGATAGGTAAGACAACATACAAGATAATATTATTACTGATTGTTTACACGTTTACTTTGAGTAAGTCCGATTGGTGATTGAGGTCGATGGGCACTTGCAAAAGGCTCTCGTTCATCCAATTTGGACAATAACACGACATCATTGGGTTACTATGATATAATCAAAACCGGCGCAATATCATTGTTAAATAAAAAAAAAGGATAATAAAAACGGATAAATTAACTTAATTACAGCGACGTGTTAGTCAGATGTACCAAAACCGAATGTGGCGGCGACTGCGGTGACCACTGGACTGCCAAAAACTACCAACAGAGAACGTCGTCGAGATGATAACATGCCTTCAAGTACGATATAAATTATTTTTAAACTCAGCCGGTGGCTCTAGGAAAATATATGTTTGTCGTAGACCGTATATTATGTATGTAACATACGTCGCCTATTACAATACACGCTGTATTATCATTGCATGGTGCCAAAGTGTTTGCACTCATTATGGCAGGTTAGTCATGTAGTATATAGGTATTAGGTAATAATTACGAAACGTGTTGAAAACCCGTGTACCTAAACCGTAATGGCGGCCAACTCTTTTTTTGATGATAATTTGTTGGCCTTTAAAAGCGAATTATAATTTGAACATTTGCATATCTCGGCAGCTGGACATCTTTTAAATGACCATTTTTTTCCGGAATTTGGCACGCAGCTTAATATAATTTTGTTTACCCTCGTTATGCACCAACCGAAACGGTCATTAAAACAAAGTACAGTGACATAATTATCACGTTATACACAACACATTGCACCCACTCGGAGAAATTGATATTCCGAAGATTGTATCCGAAACATCAAAATGGTTATTTTTTCTCGTGTACATTTTAATAGAATAAATAATAAGGTCTTCCGATTTCATGAAACTTCGACATTTTTGTAACTTTGTACATTTTGTAAAAGTACCCTGAAAGGTACGATTTCTGATCTAAAGATTTGCTACACGAAGGAATCGGTTTAGCAGTTTAGAAGATTTCTTAAGCTCAGACACAAAAATTGAAAATTAAACTAATTTTAAAAATAACACACCATTTTAAAAACAATACCTTCTCATCTCTGCATCGAAGTTCATAAATAAATAAACAATACCTTTTCTAATTATATTTTCCAAAACAAATATATTTTGTGTCTTAACTAAATTCGGTCATTAAAAACACTATTTTATTATCAATAAATCATTGGTGAACCTATACGTTACATGTTTAAATAAACTAATAAGTTAGTGAATCTCTCGGTAGGCGTTAATTGACTATTTAAATTGTTTAATCGAGGTGATGGCTACCAACGATGAGCACTATTATTGATAAAAATATTAAAAATTACAAAATACAATAATATTCCAATTTAAATAGTATTAAAAAATGATAATAAACATAAAAAATTGACACCTATGACGTTATAAAAATTATGTTTTGATTGACAGCCAAAAAATAAAACCGTTAGTGTTACCTACATTTTTATTAGAAATAAAAGTGTACAAATTAGTATAAAAATACGATGGGTGAGGTTTTGGAAAAGATTCAAATGGCCGAGAACCTTTTTATATCGCGCTAAGTTAATGTTCTCTTGGCACTTGCCATGAATTCTATCTTATTGATCAGGATGTTTGTCTCATTTCCAAAATTTTCACGAACAACATACTTAAGTACACAAAAAAGTCAATATATATATATATATATATTTATATATAATATATTAATATGTTTATATATAATATATTAATATGTTTATATATAATATATTAATATGTTTATATATATATGTATAGCCTGACAAGTTAAATGTATTGGCCATATAGAGTCGAAACAATAATTGTATGAATATTTTTATTCTCTCAATATATATTTTTGTTTACCCAAAAATTCTTAAATTTAGGATAAAAAAGAAAATTTCAAAATTTGAACAAAAGATTGAATACCATTTAGAGATTGCTCAAAGCCATTTTGTCTTTTCTATTTGATTAGCACGTGTGAGTAGATACTAGATACACTTTTAGCTTCGATGCTTCGATTAGCTTCACATCACAGTTTAACCCTTAAGTTAAGATTTTGTAAAAAATTGCCTATACTTTACTCCTTAAAATTGGGCGGTGTGGCGTCCTCTTAAGAAGGATACGGGATACCTGAAAACATTTCAAAAGTCGTGTCTGGCTTTTCCCTTTTGGATGTTCTGAGGATGGAAAGAGAAACGGTTAGAAAATAGCTCAATCCTCCGTTTAGCGCCATGTTGACGGCTCGTGTCAAATTGTCGTCGGCTTCATCTTTGGAAGCGCTTAGGACTTTGGGTCCACTGGCGGCTGGCGACGTGACACTTCGAAACGGTGGTATGACATTCGAAGAGGAAGAAAAAGTCGCCCGCAAACGCCAGCTTTTGTCCGAGCTTCAAACCATCGACCTTGACGACGATGTTTGGGAAGATTTGGTCAGATCCTAATCATCTGGAACGCCAGGGCGGGTTATAATCAGGTCGACCAACCTGCCTCCCGCCTTGGTCTTTACCGTCCCACCTTGGCAAGTGGAAATGTCGTTTTTAACTGGTTTCTGTAAACTGTTTGGAACAAATCTACTTTACCGGACACCTTTTTTTTGAATTTGTTTTTTTTTGATTCGATAGTATTTTTCACGCTGATTACGAATATGAAGTATTGCTTTTTTCACACACCTATTAATGATTTTTTGTTTGTTACTTACATTTTATTTACTACATTATACAATTTTTATAATTTTTTTGTTTTTGCTTTTCATAGACCTCTTTACTTTTGAGTTTATCATAATAATGGATTTTTATAAATTACATTTGTCTATAAAATTTTCTTTTAATTGTATTTTTTTAAATTTAATTATTTTTTCAATTAATTATTAATTATGAGTAACTATTTTGTTTGTATATTTTTTACAAATTATAGTGCATTGCTATTGTTTTTTTTATGATCTTTGTTACATAGTTATTAGAATATTAAAAACCAGGTTTCTTGACTAGAATGATTTCGTCCGTTGAATATATCCATTTTTTTATTCTAGTATTATTAATACTTAAATTGCTGGCTCAATGTTTTAGCACATTCGCGTAGGCACGAAAAACATACGATATCAACTAATATTCTTTTGGTTTCCTCGTGATAAAACTCAGTGTCTACTGTCTGGTCGTTTCTACAAAGTCCCTAACCAAATTTCGAAAACACATTTGTGTAGCATTCACAAGCTATATTTTAAACTAGTTTTTGTCTTTAGTCGATTAAACATATTTTTCTATATTTATAATTATTATTTAAATTTAGTATAATTTTATAAAAGCGCACGGATTCGTGGAATTAAATTTTAATGTTAATGACAAGTTTCTTTTAACAAACGCGTCTAGATGGTCTAGACGGCCTAAGAAGTCGCATTTTGTTAACACCATTTTGTTTCATACACTGAACACGATAATACACCTTTTACATAGAGTATGTAATACCAATATATACCGTAGAGTAGTATGTTAATATCAAGTAGAGATTCTTACTCTTCACTGCTCGTACGTCTGAATTTTCTAGCTCTACTTTCTTTCTCTTTCATAGCTTACAACATTTCTTTTTCACTGTTAATCGACATTAATCGATAAATAAAAACCGAAGCTGTAAGTTCATCTAATAAATATTATAAATAATTTTTAGTTTTTTCAGATACTTTAGATTACTTTAGAAAGTATTCGAACAATCTAATTTTTCAATAGAAACTTTACACATCTATATAACTTTCCCAATCTACTGGTACCTCATAGGTTCAATTTTGTCTAGTTGCTCACTTACAAACATTCTGCAATAATATGTTCTACAAATCTAAGGAATAGAGTAGCCAGAAATAGTATTATATCATGAATGAAAAATAATTATAGTTTCTATAAATCGATTTTATTCAGAACACTACTAGTAACATAGGTAACAGTAATACTACTAATTATCATAATAAAGTAATAAGGTTATTAATTATATCGCAAGTACTTAAGAGGACGTTATACACCCAATTTTCCAGCTTTAAAACATACCTACGCAAACTGCGTTTTACTCGCTTTGTGATGATTTTACATTAAACGAAAGATGACAAGATTTTGGAGACAATAACATATTAATTCTTTGATAAACGTAACATTAAGCTTATTAACCAACATTTAAAATCACATTTTTTTACTTTTCTTTTCTATAGGGAGGGGGTTAGGTTAGGTTCCTCTTAAGTATTTCCGAAATAGAAAAATTAAATTAAATACTTATATATATATATAATAATAATAATCACAAAGAATAAGCAATATTGTTACAAATTTTCAGTATTACTTCATATAGTAAAAAATTACATTGCATAAAAATTGCTAATTAGATTTCAAAAAAATGAGTAAAAATTACTTCAAGTTCTTATTAATAACTAATAACTAAATAATTTACTTAACCTATAACAAAGTTAGTGAATTAGTAAATACATAATAATAGATAATAGATATTGCTTGTTGTCTTGTATTGAAAAACAGTTAAGTTAGTACAATAAATTACAAATATATAGAGTTTTAGATTTATCGTACGTTGAATACATAATTAACACAACCAATATAGAGTTACATTATTATTATATTAAACTAAATGTATTTAACTTATGTGTAATTAGTATATAATATGACTAAAGGAAAATTCAAGTTAGAAGCAAAATATAGGTTAGGATGACAATTGTAATTCAGTCAGTAATAACACATTATACTATCGGCGTGATTGAACGTGAAACAAAAAAATATTTTGAGTAATAAGAATACTGTTGTCTTTACTATATAATTTTACTTTAATTATTTTATTTATAAGTAAAAAACAGTAAAACCTTTTAGTGTCGATGTTTTGAGCTATGGATACTATTCTTAGAAGTTGTTTGTACACATGTCGTTGACCTGGGAAGTGTATTATGAGAATTACTTGTATCGGGGTTTGTCGAAGGATGAGTTTGACCCGATTGTCTCATATTAAACATGTTATCCAGAGTATTTATCACTTCAGATTCCTGTAAGGTATAGTTTACCATGCTACTATCATAATTTCCATGTGGATCTGCAAATATATCTGCAAATATAAATAAAAATAAAAATAGTTGAGTACCTACTGTCAAATTTAAGTATGTTATCTCATAATCTCGAGTAAAATAGACAATAGTTTTGCTTTAATACCTCTAATATTATTTTTTTTGACAATTACAGGAGATACTTCCATATGTTTGGTTTCAGTTGAAGAATGCACTTGAGAACATCCTTCTCCGGCCAGTTGGGTAGAACTAATTATTCCATTGGTAACCACGGTCTTATTATTAAACTTTGGCATATTTTTAGAATTTCCCGTTTGTAACTGACTTACAATTTGTTCTAGCTTTTTACTTCTATTTTGTTTTCTATTATTAAATGTTGTGCGATACGGCGTTGATATAAATGGGGTGGGATTAAAAATGGACAAAGGTGTGTAGTTATTGATGACTTGTGATCTACTAACATGATCGACCAAGCTGTCTTGATTTTTATGAGTTGTTCGTTTTGCTTTTTTTATATCTTCGTAACTACTCTTTCTTTTTCGTTTTTTTTCATTAATATTTGATATAGGAATACATTGGCTATTGTTTAGAATTTCATTAGCACAAAAAGTAATGTTGTTTGAAACTTCATGAGTTACATGTTCATTCAGGCATTGAGAAACATCAAACTCTTTAATAACTGTTTGATTTTGTAATATCTCCTTATTATTTGTTTCAACAACCCCATTCACTAGTATATTATGCTGATGTGAATTTGCATTGTTTTCTATATGTAAAGAAATACCACCATTTAATACATCACGCTGAGAACCTGGCATTTGTAGTTCAGATAATTGTTGAATATTGTCATGAGCACTTGTCAACACGGTATCTGAAATATTGATAAATTTAATTACCCAAATAGATTATTTTAAAACCATATGCTTTCATCTCACATCGGACGCTCTTACCCATTTGTTCAACTCTGGACACCAAAATTGGGAAATCTTTATCATTTATATGATATGAAGGAGACCTGGAATAAAGCTGACTTTCAAATAGACTTTTTTCATTATTTGATTTTACTAGATGCATTTGATTAACGTAGTTACTTTTTACAATTTTAGCACTCTTATGAGGTTTTATTGACATAATATGCTGTTCGCCTTTTTCCAATGTTATTAATTGTATTTCTGTCTAAAACAAATAATTAAACTAGTTAGATATTTAAATATTGATATTTTCAAAGAACAAAGTAGGCAGACAAACAGAATTTTGAGGAGAGAGAAACGGTTACATGAAAAGAAAAAGATAGAGGAGATTGAAAGGAGTAGATTCAATGCTAGAAAGTTTTTCAATGAAAGCGGAAGTATCAAAGCTGGTTTCAAACCACAGACAAGAATACTTTCAGATGATTTTGGAAACCTAATCACAGAAGAGAAGGATATAGTGAGCCATTTCAAAGAATACTTTAATCAGCTCTTAAATCAACCAGTAGTAGAGGAAGACAACGAAACTGTCTATTACTATACAGCAGAACCGAAGATAGAAAAACCTAAACAAGAAGAAATCGATAATATAATCAAAAAGCTTAAGAACAATAAAGCACCCGGAGAAAACAATATAGTGGCCGAGTTACTGAAAAAAGGGGGTGCTAAAATAAGAAGAGAAATTATGGAGATGATTTCAATTATATGGGATACAGAAACCCTTCCAGAGGACTGGAATACTGCAGTAATATGTCCTATATTAAAAAAGGGGGATCCGACCAAAACAAAGAACTACAGAGGTATATCTCTCTTAGACACGTGTTACAAAGTGTATACGTCATTAATATTAGAAAGGATTAACCCATATGTAAACGAAATAGTCGGGGAATATCAAAGCGGCTTTAGAAAAGGTAAATCGACATTGGACCATATTTTTACACTGAGACAGATAATGGCTAAGTTTTATGAATTTGATAAAGAACTGCACCTTATATTTATAGACTATAAGCAAGCTTATGATAGCATTGATAGGGACAAACTATGGGAAGCAATGAAAGTACTAAGCAATCCTAAAAAGTACGTAAGTCTTATAAAAGGATGTAACAATGGAACTGTGTGCAGAGTTCGTTTCCTGCAAGAAATGTCTGAAACCTTTGAGGTAAAATCAGGCCTCAGACAAGGTGATGCTCTATCACCCACCTTGTTTAATCTAGCATTAGAAAAAGCAATTAGAGAAGTATGGGACGGTCGAAAAATGGAAATATGTGGGGAACAAGTAATATTGGCATACGCAGATGACATTGTAGTAATGGGAGAAACTAGAGATGAAGTCATAAATACTGCGTCCAAACTCTTGAAAGCAAGTAAAACCATAGGGCTGTGTGTAAATGAGGAAAAGACGAAATACTTAATGGTAACAAGAAGAAGTCCAAACATAGACCACATAACAGTAGATGACTATAGTTTCAAGAAAGTGGAGGTATTTAAGTACCTAGGTGTTAACATAAATAGCAACAACGACATGCATGAAGAAATCAATGATCGAATAGCATGCGGCAATCGATGCTACTATAGCATAAGGAGACTCCTTAAATCAAAACTACTGTCACATAACTCAAAGACACTACTGTGTCATAGCTATCTACGACCAATAATCACATACGCGAGTGAAACATGGTCACTGACCAAAGGAGACAGCAGACGACTAATGACCTTCGAAAGAAAAGTACTGAGAAATTTATACGGCCCGAAATTCAATGCAGAAACACAAACTTACGAAAGAAGGAAAAATCAAGAACTACAGGAGTTATATAACAGGCCAAATATTATTTCATATATAAAAAGCAAACGACTAGAATGGTTCGGCCATGTTTGGAGAGCGGATGGACAAGTAATAAAAGAAGTCTTAGTTAACAAAATAAATAAAAAACGTCCATTAGGAAGACCAAGGACCCGATGGGTGGATGTTATAGCTCAAGATATCAAAAACATAGAAGAAGAGTCATCTTTTGACGACGCATACGATAGAGAGAAATGGAGAGGTTTTGTGATGGCAGCGATGGCACTTAATGGGCCGATAAGCTGAGGAAAAAAAAAAAAAAAAAAAAAAGATATTTAAACATACATAAATAATAAAAAGTATATATATAAATATAACTTTATTTTTTGGACCGGACACACCCACAATTTCGTTATTACCTTTATAAACACGAAACCAGCTAAATATATTTTTTTAATTAAATAAAGTTTCCAATAAAATTATATCCAACATAATTATAATAAAACATTTTTATTAAAAAGCACTGATTTTAATATTTTTGTTATTTAGCCAATAGAGCTCTATGGTAGGTATTTCAAGTTATCATCATTCAATTCCGTTGGAATTTGGCATACTAGTGTTTTTAAAGGTAGTAAAGAAGTTGAAGGGGTCTCTGGTACAAACAATTAAAAAAAAAGAATAAGGAGAATCTTAATATACTAGTATTATTACCCTGACCACCCCAATTTATATATCGTCGCTTAAGATGCAACACCTCAAATCTCATTTTTGGCCAAATCAAGTTAGCCACACTGTTTTATTTCAATTTGCGAGGGAAATCGTCTGGCGAGCTCAAATGTATGATAAAGTCAATAGATTATTTGTTAGAATCATTGTTATAAAGTTATTGATTAGTAATTGAGTTTTGCTCCTCTGTTAAGTTAAGAAAATGAGATAGGTGGTGTATCTAAAGCCACGATATAAATATGTACACTAATGTATACAATATGGTATATTAACTCCTAGATACTGTGTAATTATTTTCTTCGGCCCTAAAAATTAAAAATCATACATAAAATAGATGGACAGTAATATTAGGAGTTACCGAATGAAGCAATCTATAATAATGGAACAGATTAAAATAAAACCGGTGTTGGGAAAAATGGAATCAAATAGTAAAAGGTTTCGATGGTCTATAAAAAAAAGTGTACATATATTTACCATCATAATATCATTGTTGGCTGTTTGGTTCCCTATCAACTCATTACTATTTGTTTGGATATCATTATTAGATAATATTTTATGTTGGAGAAGCTTGGCATTGTTTTCTACAAACGTTTGAACACAACAAGTCAATACATCTGGTTGAGACTGTTGTACTTGTACTTCAGAGAATATTTGGTTTTCATGATTACCATTGTGCAACTTGATTTCTGAAATGATAAACTGTTGAGTTTTTGTAAAAAACTTTTTACAAACATTTATTCAAGGGATTTTTTTTTTTTTACATTAAATTATGGTATTTACTATTATATACTTTTTTGACGCATTCGTACCTATATGATCGACTCTAGACATGGGACATGATATATCTTCGTCGTTTTTATGAGGCGGAGAAAACCGAGAATTTCGTAGACTGACAAAAGAATGTTTTCCCATTTTTAAATCCACTGTATTGATTTCAGAAGTACCGGTTGTTTCTGGAAGTGTGCTAATCGTTTTTAATGAATTCTCAAATAGTAAATTTTGCGTCGTATGTTCCTCTTTCTTATTCAGCATTTTAACAGTGGCTTCTTCCTGCAAACCAAAATTACTTTATTAAAAAATTCTACGAAGTAATAATAGCATAGACAAATAATATTGATTAATTGTATTACATTGGTATTTTTTGTAGCTTCATTTGGTAATAGTTCTTTATTGTTACTATTATTATTTGTTTGAAAATCGTCATTAGATTGGAATGAATAGACATTGTTTTCTACGGGTGATAAAACTCTACTTTTTAAAGCGTCGTGCTGGAGCTCTTGTACTTTTAGTCCAGATAAATGTTGGTTTTCATAATAATTATTAGGCGACTCTGTATCTGAAATAATTCCAACGATATAAGTATAAATTGAAAGTTATATATTTTTTCAGTTTACATCGGTCATCTTACTCATGTATTCAGCTGCCGACAAAAACGTTGGAATGCATTCATCACTATCAGTATGTGATGGAGAACTAGAATTTAGCATGCCCTCTGTATTCAATTCTACTTGGTACATCTGGTGGTTAGAATGTTTTTTTCTTATAACTGTGGGCTGAGTTGAAGTGTTTTTTTCCTCATTCTTTAGTGTTATTTCAGGTATGCTTTCCTGGAAAAATGTAATATGTATAGGTATTACACAGTACATATTTATATATATAATGAAATAATATATGTAATAATCATTACATATTTTATGAATTTAATACATTATTTAGATGTTTGGTTTTGCAATACCTTTTTATTATTTCTAGTCTGAATATCGTTATTAGATAATGTATTATTTTGGAGAAGTTGAACATTATCTTCTACAGATGACGAAACGCGACAATTTAATGCGCCATCATACTGAGACTCTTGAGATTCTGGTAATTGTTGGTTTTCGTTATGACCATTGGTTAACTCAGTGTCTAAAACCATTTTCAACGACTTTAGTACTTATTTATAACCATATATTCATTTGTTTCCTGTTATAGTCTTTACCCATGTTTTCTACTATGGACTCAGGAATTGGAATGTCTCCATCACTAATAGTATATAAAGGAGATCTAGAATTTATCATGCTCTCGAATGGAACACAGCAACTTAATACATCAGGCTGAGGCTGAGACTGCACAGACAGTTCAGATATCTGTTGATTTTCATCATGTCCATTGTGTAACTCCATAACTGAAATTAAATACAACATTCAACAATATGTTCTTATAATTTACTAATATGGTTTCTTCCAAACATTTTTTAGCAATGGCATAATTTTTAAAAATTAAGGCAATAGGTACCCCAATATTCTTTTTGTTCCTTTATTATCTATCTTATTATTCCGACTTCCAAATGTTTGATTTGTACGAGCTCAAGATAGATCTGGAATAATCTATCTTAAGTTCTATTAATATATTTTAACATTTATTAATTTAATGACTATATATTTTTATCAGAAAACAAGCTGCTGAACGTAACCTGACACCGGTAATGATTTGAGAACTACGAGGTACCACTACCACAATAATCAATACATTACATATTTCATAGTGTTGGTTTATGGTTATGTTAAGTTGCTGGAGAAATTTATAGCATAAGGATCTTATAATTTTACTTCTTACTAGAGTTTTGTACCGGCTATGGTCAGCACTTATACATTTCGGAATTAATATAGTGAACTTAATAAAGTGTTGCAATTTTAGCACACTTTGCAAAGTGCGTTTTCTTGAAGAAACATCAAAGGAGTTTGAGGTCAGAAGTGGATTGAAACAAGGGGACGCGCACTCTTCAATCTAGCTCTTGAAAAAGTCATAAGAGATATGCAGGATGACCGAGAAATGGAAGTACTGGGGCGCTCAACTCTCTTAGCATATGCGGATGACATTGTATTATCTGGAGAATCGAAAATGGAATTAGAAGGGACGGTACGAAAAAGATCGGCCTTAAAATAAATGAAAATAAGACTAAGTATATGCTAATGAGTAGACAACCAACTCCGTTACAAAATGTGAGCATTGATCATTTCTCTTTTGAACAATCCAGAGGATCGGGAAGTTTTGAGAGCTTTGGTAGAAGCTGCTAAGCGCCTAAATGGCGGGTAAAGCATACAAATTTTTTAAAAAAAAATTAGAGTTTTGTATTTTAAAATTAGGTGTCAACATCGGTCATCATTTCTACTTCTTAAAATTGTTACCATTTTATTATATTGAATTTAACTCATTGAATTCATTTTACAATGATAATAAATTAAACATTTACCTCATTAACATACATTTTTATATTTATTTCTATTAGTTTATGCCGTGAGAAAAGTGAGTATCATTAGTACCGCAACGACTAAGAAATTCGAACTGTGTGTTACTTGCATCCACTCCAAGCTTTCTTCTTGGTATTTTACTGTAGGTATCATTCGTATAATCTACGTCTGTTCATTTGATTAAGTTTAATGCAGGTACGCTCATGATATTCAAACCATTATTATTGTTGCATTTTGATTAACTGTAATAGTTCTTTGAAACCCATTTTTTTAGCTAAGCATTGTTCGTAGTTCATTTTATCTTTTTTTTTATTGAAACGCTTTCTTATAAATTTGATATTGTAATTCGTTGACGAAAAACATTTTACATTTTTTCTCTTTCTTCAATCTCGCAGCCATACTTTTTCGAGATAGGTACTTCAATGTTATCTCCTAGGTGTCAAAGTTGATATTGAGGATCGGTTTTAATTCTTACTTAATGAAACATAGGCGTTGTATGCCCCCCCCCCTTCGAACAACAAACTGCTTATTTGAAGGGGCGTTAGAAATGCATAAATTGTCATTGCTATAATAACCTGTATACTTCAACTATTTAGATAAACTATTTTTTGCATATATTGGAAACTCAGTACCAAGCTAAAGGAGAGCCGGTAGTACTAGTGAAGTGATGACCATACAATATATCATATATGTATATTGTGTTCTTAAAATAAATCGCTAATCTACTGCATATATATAAAAATTAAAATACCCAGTGTTTTACAAATTAAATGCATGTATTTATGCATAACCTAAGTCAACACCTGGATTAAATAAAAATTGGATTGTGTTTACTACACATACATTACTACAAAAGTACCGAGACTAGACTACCAAGGGTAGAAAAAATAAATTAAGATATTTCTGTTGACTGTCTAAAAAATGACACTTCTTTATAAACCTCGTCATGTTAGATGTCCAACAATGCGTAATAAAACTAATAATAATTACAAATTAGTCGTTACTGATTTATCGTTACTGACTAAACTTATTTTTATCGCGATAAGCACAGCTATTTTAAATGTATGCAAATTATTGAGCTAGGGAGAGAACAACAATAAATAATATTATACACATCGCGGACACCGACTCTAGTATGTCACCAGCAACCGTTTTCTCTTAAAAATATTCAGTAAAAATGCATGTGTGTACTAATACAGGGACAGATTAGACTAATCAAAAAAGTAGTCTGACAAAACTAATGAGTTATATGATATCAATATTTAAGTGAACACTCATCATATTATAGTTAAGTGATAAAAAAAAACTATAAAAAGGAAACTATTGTATCATTGTTACTGACATTGAGTTATAGGATTATTGACGTATAACAATAACAATTAAATTTTGTTAACAATACGGTACATATTATATTATAGTTTACCGATAATACAAGTAACTCAAATTTGAATTAACAATTAATATTGAAAATATAAACATAGTGTTTCAACAACAATAAATTATAAATCATATATTATTAAAGTTTGACTCAATGACTAAAAATTGAACAAATAGTTTATGAATAAATAGATTTTAAAGCACCAAAAAAAAAATAAGAGTTAATACATTTTTTTTTTAAATTTAATAAGTATTTTTAATATTGATCAAAACCACATATAGTTATTAGATTGGCGACAATATAATAATTACAAATTAACAGAAAAGAAAATAGGTATAACTATGATACCTATATCGTTAGTGTTAGCATGTTAGCAATTTAGTTTGTCATTATTAAGCGTACTTTCGCAGTGCTACCGAAAGCAAACATGTTTATAGATTGTTTATTTATATGTGCTGATAATGTTTGGATTGATAAGGATTGTTTTTTCACCACTACAGATATATATAATCATAGATAACAAAAACATGGATAGGACATTTCCAATTGAGGCCACTATATTTTTGCGGTCCTGAACTGATAAGAAATTAAGGCCGTTTGTTTACAGTACTGTATATTATCTTATTTAGATTATATTATGTAAATAAAAAAAATTAAATTCGTATCAATTTCGGCCTCAATTTCATAACACTTGATGATCGCTGATAAGACTTTATGTCCATTGTCTTATCCATGTTTTTATTATCTATGTATATAATAAACTAGATTGCTTAATGTACATGCCGTCAATAGAGATAATAAAAGTTACCATTTTCCGCCATTTTGGTAAGAATTAGAACCTTATCAAATGTTTATAACAATAATAATCCTGTAAACACAATAAAATTGTTACTTGAACGTTTTAAAATAATATATTATGATAATTTTTGTTAACAAATACATAAAATCATTTATCTATAATTTAAAGTTATTTTCTCATAATTTTCATTTATTTATTAAGTTAAGTACAACAAACGGCATTTTGATTACAAAATTTAGAATTAACGATAACATATTGATATAAATGTTAACTGGATAACTGTTTTTAGAAGTAAAATTTGTTCAATACATAAATACCATATTTTACTGTTTGAAATATTTTTGTTTACAAACCATTGTTTAAACGTAACTATTGAAACTACAATTAATGTTGTCACACAATAACCGAAAAAGTGTCACAAAAACGCTGTCACGCTGTTATCTGATAAGAGATAAGAGATTAAAGATGAGGGATGGAGGTGGGAATGGGTGAATGGGTATTATTTTACTCAGCCCTGGCAGACTAAATCTCAGGCAACGCCGGACAGCTTGTATATTATACAAACATAAATCCCAAAAAAATTCCCGACGTCAACTTCAATTTTTATCACTAGTTAGCAATCTAGTTTCTGATATATTATATCAGCTGTGCTCGCCGCAAAATGATTTTGCAGTATCATAGGACCCAAACATTCCAAACTGCTGTTTACTGATAGGAGCAAACATTTTATTAAACAGTTAACAATTTTGACATTAAAACATCGACAAAATAGTTACCAGCAAACAGTTTGCTTTCGGCGCCTCCTCGAAAATATGCTTATTGTAAACAACTTTTATTTAAAAATAAGAAACCATGCTTTATAAAGAAATGGTAATGAAATTTTTTTAATGTCTTGCGTCAGCTTAATAAAAAAAACCTAGTTATTTTTTGTAATCCACAGAAAAACATTGAAACATGGGTATGTTATCTCTTATCACTAATTTATAATCACTTAACTCTTATCTCTTGACTTTAATGTCTTATCTTTAAATAAAAGTGAAATTTGAATACCAAAATAGTGACATGAAATTTCTTGTATCCTATCAATGTTAAAATTGGCAACATTAAAAACTACTTTTTTGTACCATTAACAGTTATTGGATAGTTAATAGTTCAAGCCTATTACCGACAAGTATTAAGTATTATATCTGCAACTAGGTATAATAATATGAATTACCCCTTGCTGACAACATGTCGTCTATTACGACATGCATGAAGCACTCATTACCTAGGTAATTTAATAGTATAACATCAAGTTGTTAAATAATTATGTGCATATAATTTTAGATACTTTGTAGTAAATAGAAAAATTAAAAATTTTGCATTTGGTTTAATTTTTCCAAATATGTCTTGTATAAATTAATATAAAAAATACTAGTTTTACAATTCATAATAATTTGATTATAAAAGAGAGAAAAGATAGTCAAACGTATATTTTCTGACATTTTAACACTATGCCATTTAATGTTTATAATGCTAAAAACTGATATAGATTTCAAGAGAACTGGCTTAAGCCTAGTTTATTATGGTATCAATAATTGCCTAAAAATGTATGAACTAACATTTAAATTTGTTGTTGAAAATTGTTTTTATTGAAGAAGAGCTAAAAAAAAGGTATTGATTTTATAATAAATTGTTTTTTTACTGTACGCATGATTATCAAATATCCAAACAGATTTTTCCTTGGTAAGTCAAAAGTTAAATTAAAAAAGCACCAAAAAAATCATTTTTTTCAAAAAGTTTACTTTATTTTGCAAAAAAAATGATCGGGTACATTTTCATAACAAATTTGTAGGTATATTCATTAAAAGTGATACATAGGAAAAAATCATAAAGTTGTTTTTATATTTTAGGTCCCATGACAAAACTTCAGCTCTAAAAATTAGACAAAAAGTAGATCATTTTTAAAAAAGGTAAAAAATGAAAATATTTGTAAACATTTTTTGAGTAAGATATTTTTTAAAACGCCGTCGGAGCGGCTATAAGCGTGAAAAAGTCAACAAAAAATGTAATTAACCATTTAATATTTAAAAATAAATATTTTTTTATATATTCACATCCAAACGTTGTTCTAAAAACTGCTTTATCAATTCCATGTATTATAATGCTCAAATTATGCTATTTGTTTATAGATTTCTAATCATATTATTATGACTATACCTAATATGGTATACTTATAACTATGTAAGTAAAATTAATTCTATCCCTAATGCTTACCATTGTTTTCATTATTTTGAGCAAACTGGTTTCTTAGTAAACTCCCTAACATCTTTAATTCGCCGTCTATTTCTACCATATGACCATTAATAGTATCATCAACAATATCGTTATCATTTTTACTACATTTTTGCACAGATTCGATATTTTTTATTTCTGTTTCTTCAATGTTAATTGACTTATTAGTCTGTAAACTGTGCGTCGTATAAAAATCCATACGACTTACCACTACTGTAACTTCGTTCTGAAAAACCAAAAAATTATTGCGGTAAGTACATAGTCAACCAGCATGTAAAATAATAGCACAAAATATTAGTAAAACATAATTGTCGAAAATGACAGTGTACATGCCGACATTGAAATGAAAAAAAAAAGAAATAATAATAAATAACACATTGTGTTTTATTTGTGAATACTCATTAATTAACAGCCAGCTCAACCCATTATTCAAATCCTAGGTTAAAATCAATAGTTACATTAAAAACACACTGATTTAATACAAAATAACGCCATATTTTCAAAAACTATTAACTTGACACGTAACTAAAATGTGTTTTTCGTGTCTGCCTTAAATTTAGCTGGCAATAATTTAATATACAAGGTGATGAATTTAACGTAACATACTAATTTTCTCAGAAAGTAATAACATTTTTATAGTTTTTTTTTGTGAAAACACTTTTATCTATGTTATTTTACAATACTATAAAAATGACTAAAAATTTACCTATTTTATTATTATTTAGATCTCTATCCACTTTGAAACGTGAATGGTAACGTATGTATTTAACTATTTTTTTTAATTATTAAAAATAAATTGCATAACATTTTGACAGGTCGATAACCAGCTTTTAATAAATCATTTGTCAATAAATTATTTTTAACTTAAAAAACTAGTTAAATATAATATATGTTCCCATTTAGGAGGACGTTAAACCTCTTATTATGAAGGAGTTAGGTATAGGTAATGTTTTGCAAAATCTTAATTTAAAGGTTAAATGAGTAATTAGGACTCTTTTTTTGATACTTGATTTATTTTTTGGACAACCACAGCATCCTTGACAGCGATTTAAAAAAAATTTTCAATTAAACATAGTCCAATATCCTGTCATCACTCGTTTTTGTTATAAGTATTTTTACTCTAAAATCATCACGAAGCTAATAAAACGTATTTTATGTAGGTATGTTTTAATGGTAGACAATTAGGAGTATAAAATCTTCTTAAGCTTCAAAAGCTGAAAGCGCTCTGGAAAATACTAAAAAGGGTAAATATTAGGAAATTGTATTATATTGTTTAATAACATAAACAAAAATGTTTTCAAAAAGAAAAACTACAATTAAATTAATTGTCCTAGAAAATGAGTGTTTTACGTTAAATTCATCAATTCGTGTTAATTATCTTTGTTGTTTAATATTCTTCTCCTAGTTAGCAGCAATCTTCAATTTGTTTAGGTATGCTAAACCATCATATTTATCAGAATAAACTTTTGCTCCTGACACGGAAGTTTTTAATTTAATTGCTCCAAAGTATCAGCTTTATATTGAAGAATGTACAACAATGATCTTCTTGTACACTACTTCTAACTAAATTTTACATTACATAAATTTATATAATATGATACTAGGTATCTGGTTTACAGATTTTTAGCCTGATTTTTATAAATTCAATAAAACGATGCTGGTTTCTTTGAAGTTAAATCTCATTTCAATTAATTTTTGTACTGCTATTTTATACGATATTCTTTTACCAGTTTATCATTTCTATCTGATTTGGCCAACCCCATGTAGTTGGGAGTGTGTAAGGCGAAGATAAAGAATAAGAATCATTTCTATCTGATTGTCTGAAGATAAAAATTAAAAAACATACTATTTTTATTAATCTTGTCTTTCATACTATCAGTACTTAGTATTTTAAATTTTCCCACAATCGATAAATTGGACTATTTGAACAATGGTTATAATCGTTGATGTAAGATGTATATAATTTTTTTTTAAATAATAACTAAAAATAAAGAAATCATCTTTTGCATCAGATTATGCCAGATATTTTTTTGATTAAATGAAAAAAAGGTTCACATAAAAATATTTAAATTACTCAAATCTGGTTTTACAAGCTGGTGGTTAGAGATGACATAATTTTTCATAATATATTTGTCTTCATTTATTTTAGGAATTTCTACTCTCAATAAACATTTAAAGTTATTTTGAAATGTATAGACAAAAATATTATAATCTTTCTAATAAATATCTTGGTTAAAACATTTAAAGAAATGCATGTGTGAGTAATAGCACGTGTTTCTCCGAACACTTACAAAAATCTTAAAAAAATAGTTTTTAACTTGTCTAAGCTCGTCAAAAAATATTTAACATCTTTCTACAACTTTATTCACGGTACTTCATTTTTACAATAAATATCGATTAGATATTATTTTGTATTCAACTGTGTGCCATGTAGAAAATTCGTGTTCTTAAAAATATATAACTGCAAGGCTATTTAAAATTTGTTGAGTGATATTTAACATGCGTGTACAGTATTTTTTATAGTGTTCAACTCTAAATGAACTGAAAATTGAAATATGTTTAATTTCCCGAAGAATAATGTAGTTGATTATTGTTGAGTTTTCAATCAGTTACATAGTTAATTGTTGATTATAGATCTTTTTCGGTTTGTGAATTATATAGGTAAAATAAAGCTTGATCAATAAGTAAAATAACGATTTAATTGTATTTTTTCTTTAGTTGGTCCTTGGTGTAAAAAACATCATATTGTTCACCGGCAGTCGACTTGCTTTTGTTCTTCATTCATATAACACTATTAAAGTCGAAACGTTAAATCATGAATTTGACATACAAAATGCAATAAATTGATTAACTTGTTAAATGTAAAAAAATGTTTTTCTTATAGAAAATCTTGATTGACTCATGTAACAATAAGTCGTTAATTTAATTTGCTAAGCAGGAGCATAGAAATGTAGTAAAATTCAATTGATACAAAGATTTTTATTATTTGATTAAGAATCACTAGCAGGATTGTTTCACACAAAGTTGACCTTTAAACATAATAAATCTTCATATAATTTTAGTATCATTCAATGGTGACGTTCAAGTAAGTCTCTTTACAAATTAATTGTTTGTGGATGGATCTTCACATGTGGATTTATAGCTTGTTTAGATAAAGGTATACCGTATATGTTTTTACCAGAACTTATTTTGAATAATTTATTAAAATCTATTAAGAAGTAATCACAAATAATTGTCAACACAAAAAAAAATGCATCTAGAAAAACTAAAAAATAACTTAATAGTGTCCTGGCGGTCGGCTGGTCAAATCCAATGATCACTTAAACTGTAGAGTAACTTAAAATAATGGTTGTTAAATGTTTGCTAATAGAACTGTGATAATACCCACGTGATAACTTTCATAAGTTCTACTGTTCATTCAGTCATATATAAATACATTTCAAATAATATAAATGCTAAGCGACCTTTACAACATTTTAAATTAAATTTGATCTACTGTTGATATATTGATTGAACATACCTTCGATACAGTAGAAAACCCTCTGTGTTGTAACTCGAAATTAAATATAATATAAATAAATTACAGAAGCTCGATATTAGGAAGCGCATCATTTCAGATGGTGTCAACTCAATTTTTTGGAGGAATATAACATTAAAATAGTGCTGTAAATACGCTAATATAGTAAGGAACCCTACAAAAATACATTATAAACCCAGTTTAACGTTACTAAAATTCCACATTTTTAATGGGGAAAAAACTAACATATACAATATTCATTCTATTCTAGCAAAATTTTAAATAAGAGAGACATCAGGCATAAGAGAATTATTTTTTAAGATTCGTCCGCAGATGTCTCCCTTCTTGCTCGCAAACATATCACTATGCTTAAAGTCCATATAGATAGAATTTCATTAGATTACTTCTTTGATAAACTTTCAGCATTACACTTAAAATAATGAATTCAAAAATTACTTTTTAAATTACATTCCAATATTCACCGAGTATACTCGAGTCCGTTTCTGTTATTTTCCTGTTATTCACTCTCGCATTCAGCTTCATCTAGTACAGCTAAATTTTACGTTATTGTAGAATTATTACAACTTACTCTGTACTTCAAATAAATTTATCATTACTACTGTTTTACTCTCATGTCTACAATCTATCTTTTCAAATAGTCACAGTCAAGTTTTTGGATAAAATAATTCTTCATATAATAATGGATTCAGAGTGAGCTTAGTGTAGACTGCTAGTCAACAGGCATCACAGACAATATAACTGCACACAGATTAGCTGTGTGCAGTGATTAGCTAAACCTACCACTTCTTTAAAATATTTACTATATATGGTCTACCTATTAGACTGATAGGCTTATAATTTGTTAAATTATAAATTCTATTAGTCTAAGGAGAAATTTAAGCTTATATGACTTCCATAATTGCTCAGAAATAGTCAGAACTCAGAACCATTTCAGCATTTTAAATCAAAACATTATTACCACAATTTTCAGCAAAATCACATACATGCTTCGTAGAGCTTTTTGTTAAGTTATCTTGTGCCATATTATATACCCATATAATTCTTGCTCAATATTTTAAAAAGGTTAACGTAAAGCTTGTTAAAACACTTATGATTATGAGGAGCTACTTTAAGAAATATCGCCTTGAATCTAATTATATCAACGTACAAGACGATTAATCGCTACAATCATTTCATGTATGTATTGAAAAGCGCTTATTCCAACAAATCGAAGGAAGATTTCTTAAAAAATGTGAGGTTATTTTTTATGATCTTTTACAGAAAAAAATAACAGTTGGTACGTGAAAATGAGTAAATGATGCATGAGAGACGGTAGAACGAACAGCTGGATCGCCTATATCTCCAGAATATTACTTAGAACAGTATACACAAAAGGGGCAGCATTTATCAGAAGGGAACCAGCATGAGCAATTTTATTCGAGTAAATTAAGATCAAAGTTAAATCATTACTGTCAGCATAAACCTCTTAAATAAGTTTAGTTTCTTTTTTTATATTGAAACCCGCTTTGAGAGCTGGATATAGTCCTATTCAGAACGCTTTTAACTCGTTTTTCATACTCGTAATTTTGTTAACTGGTTCATTTTTGATAAAATGTAATGCTGTCCAAAGAGGGTTTGTGTTTATAAAATACCATGTACTTAAATTATTATACTAATAAATCAAGCGTTGACTTGACATGAAAAGTGTGGTTCACATCTATGAGTTAATTAAATATTAACAAACCTATTAATTGTGGACACAACCTAATATTGACATTCTAAAACCACCTAGCTGACAACCATATTATTTTATCCTTTTTAACCATGTGTTTTAACTTACCTTTGTACACTCTGCAAAAATAAATGGTAATTCTGTGTATTTTAATAGACTATATAACACTACAGAACATAATGATTTCTCAAATTACATTTGGAACAAATCTACTTTACTGGACACCCTTTCCCCCCCGTTTTTTTTTTAAATATAGCATTTTACACGCTGATTACGAATATGTAACAATTTCGCCGCTCGCACTTAGTTTGGAAGTCACGGACTTTTAAAGATCACCGATATCGGCATACGTACTTCATTCGTTGGTCACACCAATGGCGCGTACGGCAGCTCACCGTGTGTTTTGGCACTCGTTCGCTCCGCTAAACTAAAAATATCCTAGGTTTGTAGGCTACAGCCTAAGAGGAGATCATAGGTTTAAAGTAAAGTCGGTTCAAACGGCTCTAGAAGCTATGTCACGTGTCCAGAAAAAAAGGACCACGACAAGCAGGGAATCGAGCGGCGATCGACGGACAAAGTACCCAGCGGGCGCGGGTAGACGTGCGGTGCCGGGCGCGCGCGTATGCCGATACCGGTGATATTTAAAAGTCCGTAACTTCCAAACTATGTGCAAGCGGCAATTGTTACATGTTCGTAATCAGCTTGCAATATCGATTAAAAAAAAAAAAAAAAAACGGGGAAAAATAGGGTGTCCGGTAAAGTAGATTTATACCTTCTATTATTATAATATAATAGAACATAACATTATTATGTTCCTATTTCTCCTAGTTAGTTTTATGTATTTATACTAGATAGTTTAAAAACTATTTTTATAAATAATAAAAGCATAATTTAAAAAACTAAAGTATAATAAGCAAAGTACTTAATACAATGAAGTGAGACAGCATGGCTTAATGGCTTACGTACAAATAGTAGCCGTAATATTTTCATTAACTGTCTCGGCTATAACTATTTCATTTTTAATAATGTTTTACAAAAAACACGCTTATAATATAATTTTATAATCAGTAAAATTATGGTCATGGTAGCTAAGTAATTACTATGATTACTATGATGACATATTATATAATAATAAAAAATTAATAGGTAGGTTGTTGATTACTTTTATGACAAAATTAATAGCAAACAGGGTGACTTTTATAGTAAAAAATTTATTATTATTTATTATATATTACTTAAAATTAAATGTGCGTTATAAATATTTAAATATATGTGCGTTATAAATATTTAAAAATAATTATATAATAATTGCTATTCTGCAACCTTCACAAAATCAAATTGTTTTTTCCACAAAAATAAAATATACTTTTAAGGACTTTTATTAAAACTGTTCGAACAATTTTGCTGACATCATTATTTTTATATAGTTGTATGCATATATGATGGAAAATTTTCAATATTTGTATAATTATAATTATATTAAATTAAATGGGATGAAATTATATGAACCATGAAATATAAAAATCTCGTATCTAGAATTGTTTTTGGAAGTGTCGAAAAAAAGTGTTTTATATAATATTTACATCAAATTAAGTGAACTATTACAACAAAAAAGTTTTTCAGCCGAGTCTGCAACCACAAAAGATCATTTTCATGTCTTGTTGAAGTACCGAATAAATTTAGAGTAGTGGTGGAATTATAGATAATGATATAGTATATTAACGAGCGGTAACAAGCTAGTATAATAAAACGTCAAGTTTCTGGCTAAAATTGTAGTGTTTATTATCTGGCTTAAAACAATTCATAGAGAAATTGGGCTCTTAAACTGTTTTGAATTTATTATTTAGTTCTAATTTGAACGTTGAACGTACAACATATCTCTTATCTCCTATATCTTACCCCTATCCCCCTATCCCCTACCCCTATATCCCACCCCTATCACTAACCTCCTATCTCCTACCCCTATATCCACCTCCAACCCATCTCCGTGTGGTAACGCTCTTTTGGTAACGCTTTTTTCCGGTTATTTGCCATAGCTAATTCCACCTCTTTCCCATGCCCACCCCATTTCTTTTTTCGTTACGCTCTTTTGGTAAAGCTTTTTTCGGTTATGTGCCAGAGCTAAGACATGAAAATGTCAATATTCTTTTGACATTTTCATGTCTTAGCTCTGGCACATAACCGAAAATATTATAACGCAAATATTATAACGAAAAATGCGTTACCAAAAAATAAATGGGGATGAAGATGAGGTGGGGGTGGGAATGAGGTTGAGGGTGGGAATTAGCTGTGGAAAATAACCGAAAAAGCATAACCAAAATAACGAAAAAAGTGTTATGCTGTTATCTGATATGAGATAGGGGTGGGATATAGTGGTAGGGGATAGGGGTGAGTGATAGGGGTAAGATATAGGAGATAAGAGATATGTTGTATGCTCAACGTTCAAATTAGAACTAAATAATACATTCAAAACAGTTTAAGGGCCCAATTTCTCTATGAATTGTTTTAAGCCAGATAATAAACACTACAATTTTAGCCAGAAACTTGACATTTTATTATACTAGCTTGTTACCGCTTGTTAATATACTATATCATTATCTATAATTCCACCACTACTCTAAATTTATTCGGTACTTCAACGAGACATGAAAATGATCTTTCGTGGTTGCAGACTCGGCTGAAAAACTTTTTCTATTGATCTCCTCACCATTCTCTTTAACAGATCATTCCTTAGCTTATATTTTCTTATCCTTATTAGATCCTTTATTATATGTACGTTTAGAATGTTTAAAAACCGTCTTTATCTAAAAAAATGCTAAACTTATTGTTTGTTTTATAAAATTTTAATGTGTGTGTAAGTGACGAAATTCAAGATAACTAAATATAAAAATATCTCGTGAGTAATTCTTATAATTAAACTTAGGAAAATGGATGACCCCGTGTAGTTGGGAATGTAAAGCGAAGATAAAGAAAAATATTCCTAGGAAAATTAATGACGGTAAGCGTGCCCTTCTTGCCATCAGCTTATAACAATAACATACACCAGTTACTGAATATTTATAAACGTACAAAATATATAATTTTAAAATATGCAAATAGTGTTCTACTCGTAGTAGTAGTAGTAGTAGTAGTAGTAGTAGTAGTAGTAGTAGTAAGGAATAAAATATGATTTCCGCTATTAAAATAGATAGCACTATCGTATTTAAATGAAAAATTCTACTAACAGAAAATAAATGATTTTGTGAGATTTACATAGCTTTAAATTATTATACTCCACTGGTTAAATTTATTCAATCTAACCATTCCTTCGTAATCCGATTACCGTATTATAATTGGGCGGTGGTCTGTGGATGTTAACCACTTGTCTAGCTTTTGGTCTTAAATCTGCATTTAATTCTCTTAATCTTTCATTATACGCTTGATCATGTACATATTTTACTCCATCTCTTTGAGCCTTTTTACCAGCTCTTACATGTTTGCTGTTGACAATTAATACAAATATATTAACAATAATAGTGACATCATTAGTTATATATATATAAATAATATATCTTACTTTACGATTTTCTTAATCTTCTTCATAATTCTTAAATTGTGTGGCGTATGAGGCATTAACCGCTTTACGCATACAGTATCATCCCATCTAAACAGTTTTTAATCATATAAAGGACTGATATAAGTAAACTTTTGTGTTAAAATAGTAGATTTTAATTACATTTTTTTGAACTTTATGTAGTGTATGACATACAATTCTTCTGCAACAAGTGGTCGGACTTCGATTATTCTTGCCTCATACCAAACATCGAACCATTTGCAAAGTACTTTCTCACCTAAGCATTAACATAGAAAAATATCATTAAAAACATTTTCTGTGTCAAATTGTAAGGATATATGTACTATATTATTAATTATACATTTATAACAGCTATACAATGTTACAGTCATAACAATAATTACTTTACACCTTGATCATGTACTAAACGGTAATGTAACCAAATTAAATAATTTTCAGTACTATAAATTGCACTTTTTACCATAAGTGAGGCATTTTTGTTTGATATATAAATATTTTCAAACAAATAACGTAATACTAATAAACTGACAATTCACTGGTAATATAGAAAATTAACAGTATTCGTGAATCTATTACTTGTGTGCAACTAAATTTATTAATAAAACCTAATCCCAAGATAGGAGTTAAAAAACTTTTTTCTGATTGATGGTTAATAATAATTAGTAACAAGTGAAGGAGTAATTCCCATAATTAATTATAAATGTATTGCGAAGATGTATCCAAGTACAAATTTGGTACAGAAGTAGTGAAATATATTTAATTATAATTGAATATTAATAATCATATTTTTTAAATTTTTTATACAAAAATTATAAACTTTTTCTTTATTTCGCTTTTATAGGTGAAGTTTTAGGCCTTGCGGTTCTAGAAAAGGGAAACATGAACATAAACAATTTTTTTAAAAAATCTGTATTTAAACTCTTAAAAGGGAAACATTACATATTTTAAAAATTACTTATTCAATTACTAGGTTGCAATGGGTGATGAATCAACAGTCAACAGGTACTTGAAAATTGTTTTATTACATTTTGTTAAATAGGTACGAATTTATGGGTAACAGCGGCAATAAATTATTATAGACAGACAATCAACCCTATTCGTATCCATCCTAATAACAAAAGAGAGGTATTTCCTCAGCTTCGCGAAAAACCATTGAACCATGGATATGTTATCTCTAATATCTTATCTTTTATCTCTTATAAATAAATAGCTTTTTAAGGTATGGTTTTGTGACGCGAAATAGACGAAATTTTTTTGTAGCCAGCCCAATAACATGTCCATGTTAAAAATACATTTTTAAGCACGTTACTGTCATTAGGTGCTATGCTTTTTACTTATACGTTTTATCGATATTTGTATTTCTGAGTATGTAGTATGTACCGACTCAACTGTGCTGACTTTTTTTACAATTTTATTTTTAAACTTCTGTGGGATTACCTACTCTTTGGGTTTATACATTAGCTGTACGTAAAAAGTTAACGGATTTATTTGTTTTATTTGTGTGCCTGTGTTAGAATAAAAAATATATAATTTTTTTTTTAACAGCTGGTATAACGTATTATTTATAGTAGGGCCAGTGAAACTACAAGTGTGACAGTTGCGCGACAGGCGGCCGTTTTTATTAAAATCAAAGGTTTAAATTCCAATGTTTATTTGCACAGCGATGGTTTTTTTTTTTAAATGAACAGCTGCTGCAGCTATTTCAGCTGTTTATTGAAGAATTTTGAGTACCCTTACTAAATGTACGTTGTATAACCATATACAACCATATTATACATACATGATAATGTAGCATTTGTATCATCATAGTATCAACGATTGGAAACTGCGTCCAAGTACAGGTAAAAAGAAAAAATGTACGTCCTACTGTTTACCTGGTTTAAAAGGGATCGTTAGGAATTCGGGTATCCTTGAAAGGGCGACCACTGAATTGGCTCTCAATATTAGGTAAATTCACCATTGACTATTGAAATAGCTCCCAAGAAATATATGATCTCATTGGCTCCTTATAACAAGTGGTTCTCAAATATTTTTCGTACATACTAGGAGTACCATGTTTAGAACCGAAATCATTCGGCGACTGTTTTTCATTGGAACTAACTGAGATATAACCTAGTAATAAAGAAATGATTAAGTTTAACTACTATTTAGAATTAGTGAAATTATACACTAAAATAACTCTTTATTTTAGGATGAAATTTGGACAGCAAAAGCAGTAGTGTTAATCATACAGCTAACTCGTGTGTATCTTTTCACTCCCAATTTAATTCCTAATTTTACTCACCTCATGCAAATATAACAATATAATAATAATAATACAATATAACAATTCTTTAATATACTATATGGTGTCTAAGCTAAAACTCTATTTATTATAAGAAGCTCTATAATAGAAAGACTACACAGATAAAATATTCACGAAAAACTACAATTAAAAAAAAAAAATTCAGAAATTTGACACTGGCGTAATATCTAGATTTCAATAAATACAAATATTAGCCAAAAAGTATAAGCCACAAAGAATTTAATTTATTTCAAATCTTTAATTAATTTTAATTCCTTTAAATGAGTTGTGTACGAATATAATATGAAATTCCATTTTTTTTTTTACAAAATTTATAAAAGTGGTAAGACCATTTAAAAAATACGAAAATAATATTGTAACAATGTAATTTTGGTAACCCTTGTATTTATGAAATAAATGTTGAGAGAGCCAATTCAATAGTCCCTTTAAGAGTAAATATATCAACTACCTGAGTTTGGGAGCCAATTTAACTGCACTGAAATATTCAATACCGGTAACCTATAAATTACGACCCAATGAATTTGTGAGCTGTACAAGGAGTCTAAAGAATTACCTTAAATGAAAAACCTGGTTTACAAAGATAAATAAAAGGTAAACCTAATTTTTATTATCAAAATATGGTTTTTTTTTTAATTTTAACACAAATTTAGAAAAATCATTATTTTGAAAAATATCCATTCTTGTCAAAATTGTAGGCATTTTTACAGTTTTGTCAAACTTGTGGAAATTGCCATTTTTTAAATTATTTTTCGGTAAACTGTAAAGCATACTTTAAATCAAATAAAAAGAAATTTTTTATGCCTAAAATTAAGGTATATTTGTGATTTAGAAATTTTTTTTTGTAAAAACTAATAAGCGAAAGTCACTTTTTTAATACATGTTATTATTATTGTCACTAATAAATTAAAACGTTTTGAAAATAATACCTTTAAATCTTTTCTTTCAATGGGGACTAATAGTTTTTTTTTTTTTGTGTAGGTACTTAGTCTAAAAAATTGATAATAGATTAATTTTAAATCAGGCGAATTTTTTTTTTTATTATATGCTCTGTATAAAATATAACCTTTTTACGAAAATATCTTAACAGTTTTAGTCGGCATCTTCATTTTGACACAACCCCCCCCCTCCCCCTCCCGCTACAACAATATTTCTTAGCGCCGGCCTTTCTTACTAATCGTACACTAGCTTATAATCTAATTTATGTTAAATATTTAACCCAATAGAATATTATGTAGGTAAGCATTATTATTTTCTGATACCCGGTTGTACAAGGGAAGTGTGGGGGACCTCGCTCACTCTGGATGATCATTTTGGACGATGTTGATGTTTACACGGTTCAATCTTAATGAATTCTTTCAAAATAATAATCCAGAGTGAAACGTGTAAACCCGGCTTTAGATTGACCATGGCGTGCTATAAATATCTATTTTTATTTTTGTCGTTTGCTATTACTTAATAGTTAATAATCTTCGTATGTACAATATTATACAATATACACAATCGGCCACGGGAACGGCGTATTTTATCGCACTACGGTGAACTACTAAACCATAAAAAATAAATAAATTATAGCCGCATCTTTTAACCAGTGTAATAACTAATAAGTAACTTAAACCTTAATCATTAATAATTAAATGACTTTAATACGATTAATACTACATAATTTTACGATCAATTTTTCAGTTTTTCATTAATTAATTGTTACTCATTTACCTCGTGATTAAAACACGGTTACAATTAACATTAATTAACAATTAGTATTTATCGTTTGAATAAAAAACTGAATCGTTTGTAACGCACACAGCTGTTCGGAAGTTAGTGTAATCGGAATGTGTAAAACTTTTAGTTGTAGAATGAACTTTTAACGCTTGTGTAGACGAAGGCGAAACAACTTTATTTATAAAGAAGTGAAAAAAAAAAAAAATATATATATATATATATATATATATATATACATATATATGTATATATATGTATGTATGTATATTATATACACGTGGACCCGGAATTGTTGACAATAGTCATTACGCTATTACCTTTCGAGTAAGTCGACGCTTCCATAGTTGAAGTGTTTTTTTTGTTGCCAGGAATAGAGAACAGCTGTTAAGGTCGCTGCAGTTAACAACACCAATTTCGATTTTTGCGTGACTAAATCACGGCGCAAGAGTAAAAGCGTCTGAATGATTGGATTTTATTATTATGCTGTGAACGGCTACCGCGTGCTGCTCGGTGGACTGCGGTGATCAGACTGTTATGGCGGATGGGTTGGACTACTGCTGCAGTGTATTCAGTACCGAGTACATCGACCGTCTACGCCGGCTGCTACCCATTCCCCCGCCGCCACGTGTACTGTAGAATTTTGGCAGGGGGAAGCATTGTTCCCAGGGGTTTGTATATTATTGATTTTATCAAAAACGCAGGCGGTGCTGCTGCCCTACCCGTTAAGAGGGCGTCGCACCGGTGATGTTCAATGATAAAAACATGTTTAAGCAGACTGAAAATAACTCGCTTAATTTTGGTTTTAGAGTAAAAGCACCCATTATAAAGTTAAAAAAGAACAATATTCCGTAGGGCAAGACGGTGCGTTTTTTTAAAAAAATTAATTTTTTGAAAAGTTACAGTCATTTAAAAATGTTAAAATAGTCGTTATTTCTAAACTATGTATTGAGCGTTATACTTAGAATAATGAAAAAAACGCATCGTCTTGCCCTCCGAAATATTGTTCTCTTTTAATTTTATAATGGGTGCTTTTACTCCAAATCCAAAATTAAGCGAGTTATTTTCAGTCTGCTTAAACAAGTAGAGATGAAAAAACTTTTTTAAATCGCTTTTAAGGATGCTGTGAAAGTCCAAAAAATAAATTAACTACCAAAATAGAGTCCTAGTTATTTAACTCATAATTACACATCACAGTTTAACCTTTAAATTAATATTTTGTAAATATTGCCTATACTTTACTCCTTAAAAATGGGCGGTGCGACGCCCTCTTAAACGAATGGTCTCTGACAATGCACGAAAATAATTCGCTCGTATGTACGTACTATACTGGTAAACATGTACGTTTCATTTGTCAGTTATTTTAATTTTAAGTAAAACACTTTTTTAAAAAAGTATTTAGCTACTATATGTCTAATTATTATTCTACTGGTACGCAGACCACAGTAGTGTATTAAATAATATTTGTACGCTATAAGAGGACGTCATACATCCCCATTGGTTAAGAAGTTAAGTAAAGGCAATTTTTTTGCAAAATTTCAATTTAAAAGTTAAACTGTGATGTGTAATTAGTTCTGTAATTATAACTCTTTTTGGTAGTTAATTTATTTTTCGGACTATCACAACATCCTTGACAGTATTAAAAAACAAAATGGAATCTAAACATGACTATGCGTATTTTCTAATATTGACTAACTAATAATCGCAGAAACATTAAACGAGATATGCCTTAACGAATGTTATCAACAAGCTATATCAAAAAACTGTATAGTACCTCATGAATAATGTTAGTTTAATAAGGTCTCCGAATTCGAATAAAACTCTTCGTTTCTATGTTTTCCGCAATTTCTTGCTTTAATGTTTTTTTATTTGTAAACGCATTTTCTTTAAATTTATATACACTGTATATTGTGAAGTTATTAAACTCATTAACTCAAAACGGCAACCAATCAATCAACATATAAAATTATATTCCCACATTTAACAGTCCAAAATTCTAGAAGAATAATTTGGAGAAATAATTTTGAAGATAAAATAAAAAATATCGAAAAATTACTAGTTTTATGACAACACTTTAACTTTTGAGATAATTTTGATTAGGCTATAGATTTTTAAACGAGACATTTTTTTATGTACTGTTGAGATTCGGTGGTTAATCAAACAAATTATCAGCCAAAACTTAGGTAAAGGCTTCTCGTTGAAATAGGGAGAAACATAAAAATCGAAAAACTTTATCGGAATATTCGTTCACAATTTGTAGCCTTTTTGGGAGGTGTCACCTAAAAAAAAAAATAAGACCATCCTAATGTATATAAATAAAAAAAAAATTGATAATTTTTCCAAATACTTTTATTGTGGTACCTATCATAAGTATTATTTCAAAAAGTGAGAAACACTAAACTGAATTATGTACGTTACGTTAACAATTTCATATTGTTTTGTTTAATGGTACTCTTGAATCTTGTAAACTTAAGATTTTCACAATATAGTGTAGTGTTATAAGTTATGATGAACGCTAAATATAGGCGCTATTTGCTGTAGCTTATGCTTGTTGCCATAGCGACGTGGCCGCCGTAAACCGATCAATAGTACGTTGGTAATATAATATTCGGACCGCTTCACACACAAGCGCCGACAAGTGACAATCCACCATACTATGTAAACTGAATTCTCATAATTTATGCAGATTTTAATGGTTTCGAAACGCGGAGGGTGCCGCTGTATTATTACTAGGGTAGGAAAATAGATGAGTCACAAACCTTTGTTCATGTTCTGTGTTAGTTTTTCAATTCATAACTCGGGATACAGGATTTGACCGTTAGACGCTTAATAATTTTGTTATTATTATTGGTACAAACAATTTCTTTGGCTACTTCACTAGGTTGTGTCGGAACTAGGAAACGAAATTTTTGATGAACAAAATTGTGTTTTAATATTAATTATTTTTTAATTGTATTTATTTGATTACAAAATAGGTAGTTGTTAATAGAATTGCAAAATGAAAATTAGTTTTTGTAGGTTATAATATAATGCATGTAAATATCACTATAATATGAGTGGGCATTTTAGATATGATGATATCGATCATAGTGTGATCGTAATGATTATTATGTGATCATAATAACAGTTCATCTTGCGAAGTGAATAAGATCTACATTGTGGCCTATCTGAAAGAAAAAGACAGTCCATAGAATATTATAGATAGTATACCGGATGAAGAGTTGACCGCAATTGGCTGTCTCTCTTCCCCATACCGAAGTGCCTACTTATCACTGTGATCTAATAGAAATGTTGTGTGCAGCCAATTTATAGTACACTGTACAAATAAAATGAGAAATACCGTGGGAGGCACGAAACTTTATTGGTGACATTGCACAGTGATAATAGTATAAGCACCGATTAAACGAATCATTTAATTGCTAATACGACCGAATATTCCGAAATGCATTTCATAATTCATAGCCAACAAACATAATAATAAAAAAGGTCACGAACGACTGTGTGCCAAGTACATATAATTTTTTTTTCGTATTAGATGTGTATGTAGAATAAAACTTCTAAAAACGATTTAAACTTTTCTTATTACTCTTTCATACTCATAAATACCGTTGTGATGTGACGGTTTCTCATAGGCGCAATTAGGGGGGGGGCTTAAAGGGTATTGGCGACCCAAGTTTTAAAATAAGCACTTGAGATTAGTGATAAGAAATAAGTGATTAGAGATAAGTAATAAGCGATAACATATACATGTGACTAAATAAACAGATTACGAAATATTCCTATCTTTACGCGCTTACCCCAGTCACGAACGATTTTGTAACCTGAATCAGAAATTAACACAGTAAAATACTTAATTTTCCAAGTCTGGGGCAATTTTCCTGCGCGGATTTTCTAAAAGTCGTGCATGTTTATTTAGTCATGAACATATCCACGATTAAATGTTTTTCCGTGGAGTGGAGAAAATAACTAGGTTTTTTTTTAAATCGCCTTAAGTGTCTACAATGTAGTCTACATTGTCCCTAGTCATAGATAAGGATTTTTTTAAAAAAAATTTTCGATGCGCTACCCTGTCATTTTGTTTATTATTATAAAAAAATAGTTAAGATGGTTTTAAATAGCTTAAAGGAGGTTGAAAAGTGACCAAATAGGTTCTATGTTTATTCGAATTTAAGTAAAAAGCTATTGCATTTACTGTAAAATTGAACATTACTTTTATAACAGATTACAATTTACATTTGTCTATAAACAATGTTTTTACACATTTTTCAATTTTATACAAAATACTTATTAGTTCATTCATACTTAATATATTAGCGTATACAAATTAATATTATTATTATCATAAGATATGATTTTTTTCAAAATATCTATATATTTCATTAATTTAATTGTTGGTTGTTTTAGCTTCAATATGTACCTTGTTGAGAAGGTATTGTATTTACAATTATGTGTTTTTTTGTGTCTGGACCACCGATATCATTCAAATAGTTGAACCAATTTATTCGTGTAGCAATTCTATAGATCTGAAAGTTACTTTATTGGGCAAAAATTTAAAAAGCGTCTTCCCTTCCCCTTCAAAATCGAGAAGAATACCCAAAAAATGTACCTACATATGTTTCAACTTAAAATTACGACGCTCTGTAACTTTTCAAAAAATTGTCAAATTAGTTCCAAATTTGTATGGTATATTCGTTAAACATGGTACTATCGATAAACATTGACAAACCAAACATATATCATAAATGGGATAAACCATTTCCCCTAGATGGAATAAACATTTTTTCTTTATTTCACTCTTTCAAACAATGTTTTAGGGATTAGGTCTGAAAATTAGACGGATGGTAGATTTAGAATGGAACCATAACATATATAACTTTCCCAAAAATCTGTGATAATTGCAGGTAAAATTACAATCCAATATACAACATTAGGTATGCTAGCCTGGCCGTTAAAAAAAAAGGTTTGTACTTTGTTCTAAATTGAAAAATATAAAGTTCACCTCAAAAGAAGAAGATCCTGAAAGTTCTTACGCTGTATACCAAAAGTTAAAAGGTACCTGAAAATATTTAAGTAAATAGCATCTTTATGTATACGTCTAATATTCAATTTAAGGTAAAATTTAAGTTTTCTAAAAATACCGCCGAGAGAACCTAGTTAAAGTTCTACTCTTTTTATCGGTACCAACATTTATTTTTCTATAACATTTCGCTTTTATCAACACACTTTACTGTAAAGACGGTTTTATGATTATTTTTAAAGGGTATACGTCCTCTTAAGAAAAATGACCAAGTGAAGTGGGTCTAACTCAGCTGATGGTATACGATTTATTGGTAGACAGACAGTAACAAAATGTATATTTTGATAGTTTCATAGATAATAAAAATAAAGGACAAAGATTTTAATAAGCATTTCTTCAGTCGTCAATTATTACACCACAGAGGTATTTTGTTATCATTTAACACCAACACATGAGCCGTAAGGAAATTGAGCGTTAACGATAAACGAGTAACGGCATAAGATGGCAGAACTCTCTCATGCCTAAAAAAAAAAAATGAGTTATGACTGGATTTCTATTTCTCTATCTTAAATACTGTCCTGTTAAGGAAATGTGCCGTAACTTAAAAAAAAGCGAATTAGCTACAGAAAATGTGTACAATTGGTTTTTTTCGAGTTACAGCACTATTGCATAGCAGGGCAAAATACATGTCCTTTGTGAAATGTTTTTAGTTTATTACATCTCAATGAAAATTAGCCACTGAAATATGTGTTTGGTTAGATATGGGATAAGTCCATGTCGTATATCCTTACTGCACTAAATAATAATAAAAATATTGTTATAATAAAATATGTTAAAAATTTAAATATATGAGTTCACTTGGCTTAAAAATAAATAAATAAATATATATATATATATATATTGAACTTAAATTAAAACTTTGTTTTTATTACAATATCTTTGTTATAAACGCAATTATAAAATGGTTAAGTGCAAAAAGAAGACATGTCCACTAATTCAAAATAGGTGCTGACAAAAAATTGTATTTTACTTATCGGTTAACTAAAACAAATGTATAGCTGACTTGGGTGTCTTTAGGATGTATATAAACAAATATGCAAATGCTTTATGTACAGCCTGTTATAATTATAGTCTACACATATATAATAGGATATCTGGAAGACATTCTTTTGCATTTAAAGTTTTTTAATATTTTTATCGCTATAAACAAACTAAATTTAACAAACAACAATAAATATTCATTTCACTAAATGTATTTTTTAAAAACAATGATAATAACATTTATCAATACTTGATATATATGTAACATCAAGCTAAATTAGAATATACTTGATGAACATCTGGTAAATTTTCAACATTACTAATAAACTTATTTAAATGATTATATTCTATTTCACTTAACTCTACTCTTTTCAATGGTATATGGTCTTCTTCTGCATGTAAAATTTCATAGTTGTATTTTTCCAGGTTTGAACGTATTTTGTTAATATTATTCGGATCACACACAAACTAGAAAATAAAATTAAATAAATGTAATGTAATAACTAATAAGTTTTTATACATTCTTATATTAAACCAAATATTCAAAGGAAGTTATAATAAATTACACAAAAATAAATCAATAATAATATGAAGCATAGTAATTGATGTTTATCAATACATTGTAAGAAAGGGACTCGGTGACTGTAGGGGGAAATTCAAATTTTACCATTAACAGGAATGTTATACTTTCTGTTTAGAAAAGTGAAAAAGGCAATAAATAAAATTTCATCTTGAGGTTTTATCTCGTAGCATGTATCACATATACAGTTAAGTAATCCTATTATTTGAAGTAACAGGCTAACAAGCATTCATGAGAGAATACAGATATTTATAGATACATGGTTTTGTCTCTTCTATACATGGCCAATCCATACATTATAAAATCAATAGCATTGGTTGTTAAAACAAAAAATTAATAAAATAAAAGGAGTTTACTTTAAAATAACCCGGTTCTAAATCGTCATTTTCAGTTTCAACTTCTTCTGCTCCAGATTCAATAGCATGGTCAACACATTCTTCATTTGCATTTATCATATCTGATGGAGGTTTTGCTATTATAATGCCTTTATGAATAAATAAATGATTTACACTCGAGTCACAATATGCTAAACTATACGTAAAAACAAACCAAATTTTAATATTTTAAAGTTTAGTTAATACATCACATAATATTATTGGAAGTCAATAATCTTACCGCGATTTTCTAATTAAAGTATTTAGAGTTTGTTTAAGTAGTTTTGCGTTATCAGTCAAACCGTGGATAAGTAATATTGCACCTTTTGGTCCTTTAATTTCAAACCATACTTGTTCTGCTTTACTAGAAGACTGAAATAATATTTAAAAAAAGTGCATTATTATGATTAGGCATTCAAATAATTTAATAAATAGAGGAGGAGTGGTCGAGTGGGTAAGGCGGCAGTGTGTTAGCGCTCACTATCGCTGGTTAACATGTTATTTCTACTACAAAAGGAGCAAGAATTAACATAATTTCAACTTATAGCAAAAATAAATTCTTACGTGTGTTTTTATAGCATTCAGTATCGTATCTTTTGGCATGCTGTTTTTCTTAGCCATTTCAATGATTGAAGCAAGTTTTGAATTTGTTTCTGGATTTGGATCGTTTAGTTCTAAAAGTTATTAATATAAAAGTTGTTACACACACTTTATTTGATATAAAATAATTTTCTAATTTGATACTTAAATAAGAAATATTTTATTTGTGTAAGGTTGGGTACATTCTTTTTTAATAAATATTTTGTTTTTATAAACAAAAAATAGTTTTAAATAATTTGTGTCATGATTGATTAACGTAAAGACTAGTAAATATGTATCAAAGACAAAGGAGTTGTGCCAATAGCAGGAAAAATGAGGAAGTATAGAGTTTGGTTGATGGTTTTAGAATGTCGAAAGAAATAGTAATTAGAGTTAAGAGAGTTCCAAATAGAGGTAGAATGAGGAAGAAGTGGATGGATGACATAACTCAACTCAGGTATGAGGAGTAAATAAAGAAATGACAATGGAAAGAGATTTGTGACTTATTTATACATTTGTTGAAATATCTCACTTATTTTTATTGTTTTTTTTAATAAAATATTAACCTTAAATAATATTTGCAATACATTTTGTTTATTCAGATGTTTAAAATATTTTTGTAGGTTCTTTTATAAATTTGTGCTGTAGTGTACTATACCTCTTATAGCTAATTTCATTTGTCTGCTGAATCTAGCGAAAATCAACGATTTTTGTTGATCATTAGCACCTTTGATATGCTTGATGTTCGACCATTTACTATGGCCAGCATTTCTTTTGCAGATCCAACTACCTAATGAAATTTGACATTGGTTGGTTACTCTGAGAAAACTACTGCGGTACATTTTTAAAATATTTATAATCTTGAATACGCACGAAAAATAATAGAAAGCCGGGTTTAAAATACAATGTATAAGTGAATCTTCAATATAATATAATATTGACCGTGTTTTGTTATCATTATACTGATAACGGTCAATTCATATTGTTATCAGATGTTGATAAATGATAACGTAGAAGTGTATTATGATAAAATCTCGAACAATAATTAATGCAATTTTCAAATTGAATTTAAAGTATAAAAAAACATATCGTTGTACAATTTATTATTGGTCAGTTGTAACTTGTAATAATTATATTATTAATAAAAAACTACTGTTGTCGTGCGACGTGCATCGGCATATTATTCAGGAATATCGTTAAAGCTCACAGGACAAGACGCTTTGTTGATATAATCAATAGAGTACCCCTTGTGCCATTTTCCCGCTGGCGCTTATCATGGACATAGCGGTGTGTACATGTGCAGATGATAAGGACTAAGCAGTCAGTATTCCGATTTACGCCGTCGGCAGGCCAGCCGAGCCCCGACCAGGCAGAAGGCAGTCACCACTCACCAGTAGCCATTCGTCAGTCCGCGTTGGGGCTTGGGTCTCTCGGATTCCCACTGAACTACTAGTTACGACAGCGGTTGGCGTTTACAAGTCGATGGCCCCTTGTTTTCATATTTTGAACAAGTATTTTTGTTTTCCAATGGTCTTGTTTTGTTCATATAAATAGTCCATGTAAGGCGAATTCACCGATTGAGACCATGAAGTCAACAAGATACTCAAAAGGTAAACGCGATATGCCAATGGCCGCCGGGCCCGCTTCTCCACCCAGTTATTTTGGGCGCGCGCATTATCCCAAATAGTAGGTGTTAGATATATGTTAATAACATTATCTAAACCCGTTCGTCCCGAATGGATTTTAAGCATAAACAAAAAGACTTTGTAGATATCTTGGGTTTTTCCATTAGCATAATATCATTGGCTTTTATATAAAAAAATATGTAGTAATTTTCATTAAATTCATCAAATATCCAATACAATATCCAATGACAAGGTTAGATTAGATGGTGCAATAATTTCTCACAATATTATTGTAAACATAATAAAACTCTTTAAGAATTCGAGTTTTTTGTTGTATTGTTATAATAAGGTCAGTAAATATTAGTTACAACAATGTTCAAACAGCACATTATTATGACAAAATAAAGGAAAGTAAAAGTAAATTAAATACTCGAGTATTTTTTAACCATTTTAATGGTTAAAATATTTTTATTTAGAATTTCAGCAGATCGAAAACAAGTAACACACTTAATAAATAAATATATTTGTTATTAAATATTGAGTTTTTCTTTTTAAAATTAAAGATAGCTTATTTATAAATAGTATACGATTCATGTTCTTCATATTAATCTAAAAATTAAATTAGCATTAAAAAATAAACAATTCTCAGTTTGTCAACAAAATCTGTATTGAGAACTAAAAATATTTAAATTTTACTACTACTAGTTTACTTTATAGCCTTTTCCCACTATACTGCACCAATTGCAGGTGTCCTACTATGGTCTACTTAAGTATTGGTATACACTAAATAATCTTTTTTATGTCTCACTTGACTGCACTTCGCCAGCTCTTTGTACTGAGTATAATGATAATTGCACCAGCTTGGTGTTGCCGTGCGTTAGAATTATGGATGTACATATGTCCATATTGTACTAATTGTACTGTTCGTTAATCAATAACATGTACAAGTATTAATAGTGCAGCAGTGTAGTATAGTTGAAATGCTATTAACTTTTTTTATTATGATTTATATATTTTGTTTGTTATACTCATGATAACAAATAAAAAGATCTATTGAAATTTGCACTGTTGTAGACTATATATATATAAGGACACAATTGTGTTTTGCAAGTATCAATTATTATATATATAATAAATATTTCTATTTAATTAGGTTATTATACATCAATATACAAATGTTTCATAAGTATCCTAACGTCAATTAACAAATTGTTTATTTTAAATTTAACTTACTAAAAACAAACCCAGTATGAAAACCCAATTATTTTATCTTTCCTATGCCAGTATGTGATCAGAAATAGTAGTCTTAAGAAATATTCAGTTAGTTATTATAATTGGTTAAACGTTATTGCAGTTGGACATTATTGAAACTTAAATAAGAAATGTTGAACTAAATAAATATTATGAAACTGAAAATAACATTCAAGTTTAGTAAAGATAATAAATTATATTTCTAGAGTTATTTGAATTTAAGCATATATTATATAGTTAATTTATAATATTATGTAGATTTAACATCATCAGATATGTATATTGATCATAGAACAACTCGTCACTCAAAATAGAAATGAAAAAAAAATGTTTCTTTATCTTAAGCCTGCTTAATTTTTCGTATTTTCATAGTACTTAAAATATTGTTGAACGAAAAATAGTTTTTTATTAGTTTAATATGATGCTGAAATTGCAGTCAGTCAGTTATTACCATCGCACATTTTTGTTATATTGTAAATCGCTTATCGTAAATCAGAATCACTTTCTACCACGTATAGAAGTTTCGCTTGAATATATAATGTGTATTTAATCTTTATGAATGTTTGGTACTTTTAACTTAACAATATTTAATTTTTGTGATAATTTCTATCGATCAATTTTAATTTCTTAAAATAGTGTTTTTTCATAATGTCAAAATAATGTTTTGATATTCAAGAAATATTGTCTAAGCTTTTTTTTTTTTTAAATTGCTCATAATTTATAAATATTAGTGAGTTGCGACTACTTAATTTATTTACGGTAGTTGTTTGATTAAATTTATAATATGATAAGTTCTAAACAATTTGATATAATTGAAACTAAATATTATTTTTATGTTAATACTTAGGTGAGAAAGTATTGTGCAAATGGCACAATGTTTGCTATGAGGCAAAAATAATTGATATCCGTCTTGAAATTGATGGTGAACAGTATTATTGTATTCATTACTTAAAATTTAGTAAAAAGTAAGTGGAATACACTTAATATTTTAATAAAGTGTTACTTAATTGATTACATAAAATATTGTTTTAGATGGGATGAAATTGTAAGCGAAGAACGGCTTATGCCTCATACTCCCCATAACCTAAATGTTATGAAGCAAATAAGAAAGTTTGCCAAGTAAGATATTTATTAAGTAATAAGACTAGTACTAATTATTAGACATATTAATAAACATCATTACATTTTAATAGCAAAAAAAAGCGTGAAATGAATAAAGCAATAAAAGAAGGAAGACTTTACGTTGATACAGAGTATGAAGATATTATTAGTAATTTAACTAAAAATTTAATACCAAAACTTGATGGGCAAAAGTTAATGCATCAAAATGCATCATCAAGTTCTCTGTGGACGAACAGATCACCAAAGCATTGTCATCCTAAAGAAACTCAAATAAAGCATGTTACGGTAATATATATGTTTAATTTAAAACAAAAAGAAATGGTACAAATAGGTACAAGTAAATATGTCAAGTATAATGGTCAAAATCATTAGGCCTAATAAATGTTACTTTATTTGAATACAACACTAATATTAAAGATGAAATATAGATATGATTTGCAACTAAGAATCAAATTGTTTATTGAAAGGTAATGATAATATAGCCCTTAAAACCATAAAAGTTCCCTATGAAATACATATTTTTAGTAATAAACTTGTTTTACTGTCGCAAGATACAAAATCAACAATTTCTTTAATGCCACATGTAGTGATAAGAAGGTTTTTGTTTTAACAGTGTAGTTTGTGTATGCCACTGGTGTGCAAAAAACCATTTACAATTCATAATCTTTTTTTAAAGGATATTATGTAAAATTTTTTTGTATGTTGTTTTGATATTATATACCCAAGGTATTGAGATCAAATAGTTAGTATTCCCGTAAATCATTAAATAATTTTAAACACAAATAACTTCATTATTAACATAATCTTAGCTAAACAACATTTTTTCGAAACATTGTAGATAGATTACCTATAGTTAAAATAGTTTTTTTTTTTAAATTTAAATTATTAGTTTTTATCTAAGGCGAAAAGAATTGGATATCTTTTTTAGCTTCAGTGCGGAGCTGAAAAGGTATTGTTTTTCCAATGATGTGCTTTTATTTTTTATTTTTGTGTCTGAACCCACGATATCTTGTAAGCCGCTGAACTGATTTCTTCGTGTAGCAACTCTATAAATCAGAAATCATACCTTGAAGGTACACTTTAAGGCCTAAAATTAAAAAAAGTCACCCCTTCCCCAACAAAATCGAGAAAAACACTCAAAAAATGTACAAATTTTTCAACTTAAAAATACGATGCTCTATAACTTTTTTAAAAATAGTCGAAAAAGTTCCAAATTTATATGAATTATTTTTCAAACATAGTATATTTCTACCCATCCTAAAAATTAAACTCTAATAACATTACATTTAACTGGTATAATCAAAACTGGTTATAAACCAGTCAAAGTTATCAGCAATTTTAGAATATTTTACAATAACATTAATAAAATTGTAATTATTTTTTGAGAAATGGGTATCATAAGTTAAATTGATCATAAATAAACTTTAAGCAACTTATGGTTATATAAATAGTAAAGAAATGAATACTTAACATTTTAATCATAAAAATAATACACTATGCGTACACATATTTAGGCAACAATGTTGTCATCCTCAGTGCTAACGACAGACTTTTACTTTTTGTTGTTATATTTTATATATACTAAAATATGGGTATTTACTATGTACATTATTTTGTTTTAAATTTAAATTGAATAAAAATATAAATGACCTTAACTGAGAAAAACTTATGTGGAACTACAGTTATACAATGTATATGACAATATATAATATAAATAATATGTAATTTTTTAATTTATAGAAAGAAGCACATGTGGCAGTGTGTCGTATGGTGTTCCCCGTAACACAAAATAGTCAATGTGAGCAGTCTATAGAAACTCACAATTTAAGAAATACTTCTGAATCTAACAAAGAATTAAGTCATAGTGTAGAAAATGGTTGTGATTCTAGTAATAGCCAGATGCATATTGTTGAATTTAATAGTCAAAATTCTTCAATTGAAGGTCAATTAAATCCTCAGACGCCTTCATTTGCTAAAAACGAGGAACATATTCTAAGTACAATAACTACTGTTAAAAACATGGAAGAGGATTTAATAAAAAAACCTGTTTCTATAAGTAATAAAAATGGATTATTTAATGTAGTTAAAAATGAAATGAATACTAAGACAAGAAAAAAAAATTGTATTTCTGAAAAATATTCAACAGACATGTTTATAATTTCAGATACCAAGGTACACAATGGTTATTATGAAAACCAACTGTCAGCTGAGTTAAAAGTACAACAACTTCAACCGGATGTGTTAAATTGTAGTGTTTCGTCGCATGTAGAGAATAATATTCTTTTTCAACATAAAGTTTTATCTAACAATGATATACAAACAAATAATAAAAATTTATTAGATAATCGAATAGCAATCAAAGATATAAATGTTTCTGAACGTTCAAATGAAAACTTCATTCCTCAAGTTTCAAATGACATAACTTTATGTAACAATCAAACTATAAACAATGGTCAAAGTCTTACTATTTCGAAAATTAAAGACTTAAAACGAAAAAGGAAGAGTAGCTATGATGATACAAAAAAAATTAAGTATACTATTGATCAAAATCGAGATAATCTAGAAGACTCTGTTGATACCTCTTTAGTCAACAATAATGACACATGTTCATCCAATCTGAATTCTTCTGCATGTAGCATAATGTCCCCGTGCTTAACACATAAAAATGGAATTCGAAGGAGTAATACCTTGGAACAAATGGTTAGTCAGTTACACCAAACAGAAAATTCTATAGATTTGTTAAAATCGAATAATAAACCAGTGGTTATAGCCAGTACAAAATATTCCAGCCAAGTGACTGGAGAAGGATGTTTTAGTGGACATTCTTCAATCGAAAGGGAAATTAACGGAGTGGCCCCCGTAATTGTCAAAGAAAATAATATTAGAGGTATACATACTGGGAAATGTTGTGATTCTCATGATAAATGTTGATTTTCTCAAAAAGGTGGTCAGTTTTAAATATTTATTATTTTTTAAAAAAATTTTCAGATGTATTTGAACACCCACCATTAAGTTATGACAATACTATGGTCAACTATACCTTACAAGAATCTGAAGTGATAAATACACTTGATAACATGTTTCACATGCGGCAAAGGCATACTTTAACGGTACTCAATAAACATGAGCCACAAATACCGCCTAGTCCACTTAACTGTGCTGAAATAACTCCCAAGACCAGCAGTAATCACAACACAAATGAAGGTATTTATGATGGTCTATTTTTAATAACTTTTTAATGTTCTAATTATTAGCACTACTTGTGAAGTTTTTGATTTCTTTTTACTTTTACAAATATTTATCTTCTGTCATTTTGTTTCTATACTAAGAAAGTGATTTAGATAAAATTTTGTTTGTCGATGAAACAACTGCAATGTTTTATTACTGCCTGAGAATAAAAATGTTCTAAATCATTTGAAAAAAGCATATTTTGAACACAATGAATGAAAATTTTTTTCTGCATATTTTGGTGTCAAAATAATTTCAATCTATTGATTATTGAGCGAGTTACAAATGATTAAAAGGTTTTAACTCATGGTTCTAAATGATCCTAAATGTTTTATCTCTAAAGAAAAGCTATTATTATTGTACAATTTTGTTTTTGTGGTTATAGCATTACATAAAAAATAATTATTTAATTCAAAATTAATAAGTTCTAATAACTAAATTATAATTTATTTTTTTACAATAAAAAAGTTCTACTTGTCAAACTTTTTAGTATAATAATTTAGTTTTTAGCTTCGATTTTATTAACTCTGTCATTCATTTATTGTTCTAATTACAAATTCCATGTTGTGTGTGTTCTATGAAACTTTTTAGATACTTATTACAACTTATGTCATTTAGGATCTACAATAAAAACATATTACATTTTTTACTTATTACTTAACACTTCTAAAGACAAAAATTGTGTAAGAACCTTACTATTCTGAGTTAGCAATATTTTTAATAGTTATAATAATACATTTATACGCTATAAAATAATTTAAGTTATTTTATAGTGTCGGAGTAGAGGAGCCAAGTGATTTTTTTTATTATTATTATAAAAAGAGGATTTGGAAGCAACAAACACTTGTTGTCTGAACTATCATTATAAAGAGGACAGTTTTTTTAATATTAGAAAGAGAGAGTAGATGTCTAACATGTTTGTTGATAAGCTGTAGAAATTGATTTAAGAGATAACTGAGAATTTTAAAAACAAATTTTAAGAAAATATAAAAACGCATGAAATTTTTATTACATTGTTGATTAAAAATTTGTTTTAAATTTTTTTTTAAAAATGTTTTGTGTAACAAACATATTTTGATTGTTTTTATAGTTGTAAAGGAATTACAATATACATCTGATAGTTCATCTACAAGCACAAATAATCATATCAGTGATGAGGATGTGAGTGAACCGTCAAGTGTGCATATTGGTAAAAAATCGGATGAACAAGATTCAATTCATCAGATTAATCAAGAGTACTCTTCAAGTTAGTTGAAGTGACTATTATAATTTTATATCTGTATTTACATAATACATTAGTAGGATTTTTTAGTGTGAAAGCAAGTTTCTATATTATTAAAACTCATTATACATACCCAACATTATTTTTTGATCAACAATTTTAGCATTAAAAATTATTTGTGAGTTTCTTTTGAAATTCAACTTTAAAGTTATCTTAAAACTTTTTATTGCTTGACATTGTACAACTATTCTTTATACAATTTTGTCAATATTTATTTTATTTAAAAGCTTATATACGTTAATGATGTTTATTAAATTTGAGTTTTCCCAAATTATTGTTGATGTACCTAATAAAGAATCATGTGTCATATTAAATATCAAAGTATAATTATATCATTTTCTTTAGCTGTAGTTATGTTTAAATTAATTAATACTTTGTTATTCACTTGTATTGATGTATTTTATTTTTCCATCTATAATAATTATAGATATTGAAAAACTGAATACCGTAGAAACTAAAGGTCATGTTTAAAAAAAAATAATCATTGTTGACAAAAACACCCAGGTTTCTTTTTGTTTGCGCTCAGTAAATGCATAGTTTTTACGTCAAAAAATCTGTTTTACAGAATTTTACTAGTATACTGTTGTATACTCAAAAAATTTAACTGGATTCGGTTAAAAAAACCACGGGTTATCGCCAACTCTGTAAATAATAAGTATAAAAATGTAAACAAAATAATAAGGTTTCTAGTAAATGTAAAAATATAAAATTTAATTATTTATTGAAGATTTTCACGGATTATTGTGGCATTTTGTTTTGATTGTGTTGTATTGGCGTGTTTTTCATAGCAATATTGTAATTGAATAGATAAAGCCTTCCAAAAGGTTATTTATTTATTTGGTTTTGGCACAACGATAATAGATAAAAGAGACAAGTTTTGCTACCTATGTTTTTTAATTTTTATTTATGGAAAAACAAATCACTAAACTAGTCAATTAATTACATTTATTGTAATTTTGGACAGACAAACTTCAAATTTATGTGTTAACATGTCAATTTATTACAAAAAAATATACATTATTTTTTAACTGTGATCTTTGTAAAATTGGATATTGTAATATGCATTATGTTTCATAGGTGTTGAACAATCCAATGACGTTGCAACAACAAGCTATTTAGCCAAAAAGCTTTGTAAGTGTAATTGATCATTAAATAATTAATAACTTTTAAGTACCTATATTGTAGCTTTATAAAAAAAAAACATAATAATCAATTTTGATTAAATTTAAACAAAATACTAATAAAGTTTATGACTACATATTGCTGCGTTGTAACATAAAATACATGTAGTTTTATTTTGAATTGTCTGTATAATTTGTTACACATTGAATATAAATAACTAACATCCTATTTTTTGAACATATTTTAGTAAAACCAAGAGTAGCGGCAGCCAAAGCAGCTGTTGCGATTACTTTGATGAGTAAACCTTTTCCTGAGCACGACGCACAAGGAAAAAAATTAAAAAACGGCAAGAAGAAACGTGATGATGTAAGTCGTGAGAATAATATGTGTAAATAAAATAAAATTTGCTGTAAAGTAACCTCATTAAATTTGCACTTGTTGTTAATTTTTTTTTGTACAAAAAGCTATACAATGTTCTGTAAATTTAGAGGCCGAAGGTACTAAGAAATTTTCTAGTGCTCATTGTATAGTAATTGCTTTTAGTTAGTATTTTCAGTCTCCACATCATGTAATATTGTCAAATTCCTTAAGTTAAACATAATTTTTGCTTAAGTTCCATTATTTTATTTTTACTTAAATGACAAATAATTTTCTCCGACTATTCACAAAGTCTACTCAAAATATTACAATGTTATGATTAACATAAAATAGGTAATTATTTCATGTAAATATTTGTTGGTTTATTAACTTTATTTTAATAATATGACTGAAATAATTTGACATTTCTTCGTACTGAGTATTGACTTAATATGTTAAAGAATAATTTTGTGGGGTAATATTTAAAAATCAAATGGGCTAACAGATTTCATTTGCTAGTGGTGGAAAATCACAGTAATATAATATATTAAGTATATCACTGCAGCAAAACTTAAATTCATATTTTTAAAATGTATTTAAGTAATGTTCATAACATTACATCTCAGCAGTTAATATTATATGTATGACAACTTTTACATTAAATTTTTTTTAAAAATAAAACAATATCGAGAATAAAAGTAATAAGGATAGATATAACATTTTATTTTGTTAATTTCTCATCATAAAAATGGTAATTCTTGGTAACATAGTTATACTTCTAATGTAAACTTAAAAATCGTTTATCAGAACGCATGGGCCTCAAAAGTGAAATAATACATTAAGGTGGGAGGGGGTGTATGGAGCTTAGAGATATTGTCTTGATGAAGCTTTTCGTATTTCTGAATACGATATATCAGTATCATTATAGTACCATGTTCACCTGTATTTATGACATTTTAAATTGTTTTAAAAAATTAAAAAACACTATACTGTTTGCTTTACGATAGTGAGGGGGAGGAGGGGGTGATGGTCGATCGAGCAAAAGCCCCCCCTTAGGGTCAATGAAATGTTTGCAAATGCCAAAGCATATCTACTCTGACAAAATCCTAAATACGCTTCTGAATGTCGGTCCAGACTGTAATCACTCTACGTATTGGGTTTCCTTTTCAAATTAAATTTTGCAGTGACAACTGTCAATGTTCTTACAACTTGAAAGCCTATAACTATGCTGTCACATCCCATTTTTATAATTTCTTTGAAATTGAAAGTATACTTAGTCCCAATATTTATTTAGGTAAATATATACATTATAGTGTTTTTCTCGACAATTTATTATTGTAAAACTAGCTGTTAACGTAGAATATTGGATTCGGATGGAAAAACTTTATTTACGGGTTCTGTGTCTGTATTGGTTTCATTTGGGAATAAGTGCCGATAGCCTCGGGAAATCATTTGCTGTCTATACAACCAGTAAACGTATTTTGGGTAAATCTGTCGAATGGTCTCTACAAAATGCTGAGGTTGGTCGGTCAATACTGTGGCGTTTGCAAACATGGTAGCTGCCATTGCGAGTTGACCTTCTTCTAAAAAATTCTCTCCGACCCTGATGTTCTGCACGAATAGTCTGGTCAGCCACTGGCGTATGTTTGTCTCTTCTTCGTTCATTTCCATCGTGTTTGAGTAAACAAATTTGCATGCATGGCTACTTATTTTACTGGTACTGTTAACTTTTCGTCAAGTCCTTTTCATAATTTTTTTAATTCAACTGATAATTTTTGTTCATTGCATTTACTACTATTTTACATTTTGGGGCTTAGTGTATACTCACTCTACATAATGTACTTTTATATATGTGTATGTGTGTGTGTGTGTGTGTATTGTTTGTGTATAAAACGTTTGTTGTCATGGTAGAGTTGCATTGAACTGTTGCATAAAATAAACAAATGTCAGCGGGTAAATAGCACATTTAATGTTTACATGTTCCAAGTTGATCTGTAACCCTTTTTAAAAATGTTATTCTAATGATTTCTTACGATGTTTTCAATTTTAAACTTTCAGTGTAACTCGATATTGTCACTAGTTACATTATATTTGATTTACTTTTACTCTAACACTGTTTTAGTTTTAGTTATTGTTGTATTCGTTGTATGATAACTGATAAATATAGCATAATTTTGGTTTGTTGGTAGTTTTTTATAAGAATATTGCACGGCTCACATTTTATTAAGTCAATAAAATATAGTCATTAAAAAAAAATAAACCTATACAAATTATATTAAAAAACCTTATTATAAATTTCTAATGTAATTCCTGAAAAGTGATAATTATTTTTATGTCAAGTCATTTTTAAATACCGTGTTTTTATTTTTAGTTAGTAGCAAAATTAAAAAAACAGAAATTTGGAAAAATGAGTATACTTAATGCTGTTGTTTGTTAAAAAATTATTTATGTAATGGATAAGTTATTGTTTAGTCGTTAATGCAAAACTTAAATGTTGCTTTACTTTGTGATATATTTAAAATAATATGAACTTATGTAAAACACTTTTATTTAATTATATCAGGTTTAATATAAACATAATACTGTAATTCTCAACTTTCTTTGTTATAATTTTCAATTATTGGTATGAACTAAAACAAGTTTTTGAGTTTTACCGATCAATATTTAAATAAAATTTGTTTCTATGTTACTATTATTTGAATAATTTAAAAATATTAATTTTTTTTTTTACCTAGGGTGATTCTTTAGACGGCGATGACTTGGAATTAAAAGACTATGGTTTAGATTTTCCGGACTGTTGTGTGAGGATATATATCGAAGACCATCATTTGGTCGAAGATGACAGATATGTAAGTTTTATTACAATGTATGCTAAAACTGTAACTATTATTTTGCGAAGCATTTGTTTTTGTTGATTGCTATTCCGGATCATTGTTGGTTAATACAATTTCCTACCCTTTACAGTTTTACGCATCATCCTCATAATCTAGATTTCAGAGAGTCAAAAATTGTTTTATTTTATTTCATTGTGTCTGTGAGCAGTCGGTCAAAGAAATCTTCTCTGAAATTTTTCAATCGTACTCCAGAATGGGACTTACAAAGGTGTAATAAAGGAACTTAAGCGGAGATAAGAGCTAAAACTCCTATAAGAAAATAGAACGAATTATGAAACTCAGAAGTATTGGAGCTCTGCTCCGTTTGATTGAATTGTGAGTGAGCATAAAGCCTAGGTCATGTATGAAGTTACACAGTTATATAGGTCTAATTTGTACAAACTAATCCAAAACCATCAGGGAGTGGTTAACACGGTCAAAATATGAATAAGTGTGTGTGAATCATGTCAGTGTATAGTTTAATGCAGGACGAAGAGTTTGGAATTAGTAATCTTAGAAATGAGGAATGATGATAATAGTAGGATAATTATTAACTAACATTTACTGAGCGAAAGAAGCCAGGCAATAATGTCAAGAGAGATGTAACTTAAACACAAAATTGCTACCCACTTATTTGTTAAGAAGTAAAATATAGACAATTTTAGAAAGAATTCTAATTTAGTGTATACTTATTTAAACAGTAAAGAGGATTCTATATATTAATAGTGATTTTTATTAGCCCACTATCATAGATGACTTACTTATAGGAAAAATTACAATTTTTTTCCATCAAAATAGTTTTGCGCGATTCAAATTTATAAAATCACCAAATTTTCCCATTTAATAGAGAAGAACTTTATCTGTGTTTAAGCATTTTTTAATTTACATTAACTCAATTCACTATTTTTATTAATTTATTTAAAAAAAAAATAATAATAGTTGATCTATCAAAAAATGACCAAGCTTGAGCATAGATAATATTTTCCTGTAAAAATTTGGTGAATTTAGTACAGTTACAGCCTGTACAGTGTTCTTGATCGAGCCAATCCTGTTTTCACACTTCTAATTATGGCGTATTTTTAAAGCATTACTAACGTCATCAATCAATATTTGAACAGAGTGTGCCAGAATATAATATTAAGTTCTATATTTTTTTTTATATATAATATAAATACAGTTTTGTCTGCAGAAAATAAGTTCACTGAATATATTTCATTAGTGGCGATTGTGTCTGCATGGGAAACTGATTTGGTTTTTACAAAAATGTAGGAAATAAAAAATAACTGTCAAGTCAGCTAGAAAAAAAAAAAATGAAAGTATATAATCTCCTCACAGCGGGTGGTCGAGACATTGGACGAATAAGGGGAGGGCCTGGAGAATTTCGCCAACTTATGTTCATTCTCCTTAATTCTGCCCGGACATCAAGCGGAGTGCACGTATGTTGGTTGTACAAATATTACTGTTATATTAAAATATAACAGTTAAAGTTTAATTAACAAGTTATAGTAATTAAACTTGAAAATAAGTTTTTTGGGATTTCTGAAAAAAAAATGTTATTTGAGTTGCTACAGTTTTGATCTAAGTGTGCGAAATGTAGTCATGGGAAATAAATTGTTTTGTTAACATTGATATTCCCAAAAACCTAAGCCTAGTTGCGCCTAATCTTTTTACAATACCGGCTTCCACAAGCTTTACAATTATTCTTGGTGTTATTTAATGTAATTTAACGACTATGTGACCTAATAAAAAACTAAACCATGTGTTGATGTTATAGATATTCACTTTACCGGCACGGCTATCTGTGTATATGATATTCTGTGACTACGCAAGGAAATTCCCAGTGTGAGTTGTGCTCTACAACAGCGCTTCCAATCTTTTTACACATCTCTTTATTTATTACTTATACCCAAGTTATATATTTTTTAAACCTTTAGATGTATGGACACTCTGAATGTTATGTTGGACGCTTTCAACCAAGGTCTAGGAGTATGGTGTTTACATAGAATAGAAAAATTACAGTATCAGCAGGTGAGTTATAAACCATTTACTCCATGAAATTTTATGTTTATTAAATATTGGAATTACATATTGTGTGTCAGATACTTGAGAAATATCCTGATCGTACTGTGAGTCATATATACGGCCTACCTCATCTAGTCAGATTTCTAAGTAAGTATATCGTAATTGCAATGTGCTACATTTGTCATACCACTGTATAAAAATATATCTATACATAAATAAATATATTTCCATTGCAGTGTGTCTTCCAAAACTGTTTCATTTGATGAAAAATGATTGTGTAGATTTTGTGCCAAACGTCACTCATTTCGCTAGAGGACTTTTCATGTGAGAAACTTTAACTTTTATTATTGTAATCCATGGCATGCCTATAATCTAAATATATGGTTTTTTTATGTGCAGCTATTTGGCCGATGAGGACTTTCATATCGACGTCGACAGAGATTATCAACCTGTAATGCCAGACTACTTTAGGTTGACTTATTATTAGCAATTTCAAGTCAGAAATAGATTCTTGTTGTTATTATTATTATTGTGTATTAAATTTTATTTATGTGGTGAAAGTCTAGACACATATTATATGAGGTGCTCTAATCTAAATAGCATTATAAGTATTTAGAACGTAAGGCTTTTTTTCATTATTTATATATTCTGCTTAAATTTTGTTATTTATTTATTTTTTATGTCCATTTATATTTCTGAACCCTTTTAAAGTATTTTGGTATAAATCGAGAAAAAATGTTCTCCTCCATACCATCAATTAAATTATCCAAAACAATTACAATTAAGTTACTACGTAAGATTGACTCATGTTTACTCCTTAATTCGTTTTTGTCGAAATTTACAATATTGTATTTTGTCTTCTTTATTGTTAAGTTGTTAAAGACTTTTTAAAAGTAATGTGTTCATAATGATCATTTATTTAATTTATAACGTTTTTTTTTTGTAATATTACACAGCTGTTGTTGTTGATTTTGATATTGTTAATTAGTTTCTACTCGTTACAAGAACAGGGTGTAAATTGTTGGACATATATATTATTATTTATAAATAAAGAAACATTGCATAGATTATATTTAAATAATTAGATATAATTTTATTTTTTTATATCTATAATTAATTACAAATATTAATTAGTATACGAATTTATTTGTAAAAAAATGTTTTTTATTAAAGAGCCAAATGTATTGTTTTTTTACTAACGCCCATTCTGACCTTTTTAAATATTATATTTTAAATTGTTTTACACTTTTTTATCACTTTAGTACCTCTTACTTTTAGGTCTTGAGGTTTGTGTTATATTTTTGACTTGTTTGTTACTTAATTTTGTTAGTTACTTCATAACAAGATGCTTGTTTTGGTAGATAATCAATTAAAAATTACTACAATAGATATAATTTTACTATTGTATTCTTTAATTTGTTTTAATCGCTTTTATTACGACTTATGTTATCTTAGACTTATCTTTATTTTTATTTTTTAATTTACGTCGGCTGTTTTTTTACTTAAATATTATCTAGTTCAATAGTTCACCATTATTTCATAAATTGATTATTTAAGGTAATTTTAAATATATTGTGTATTATGGTTGTTAAATAAACAAATGTTGATGTTCCAGAATAATAAAACGAATGGATTTAATTTTAAATCTTTCATTTACGTGATATAAACCAACTATCATCTTGGAATTTAGGAGTTAGTGTTGCAATTTAATTTACAAAAACTTGTTAAACCTTTAAGGCTTAAATTGTCACATTCTAGATGTTGTCTCATGCAAAGTGTTCTGGGTTGTCCTAGTCTAGTGGTTGCTGAAAAAAAAAAGTATTGTTCAAACAAACTATTAAAGGCACACGTGTTGGTCGTTAAAATATAAATATTACACTATTAACTTTGGCACTATGTACTTTGGTTATAATTATTTTATATTCAATTTTCGCAAGTCCCGTGTCATAAAAATGTATTAAATTTTCCCTTGGCGGGCATAATAATCTCGAAAATTGTATTTACTTAAATTGTCTTTTAGCCAGAAATTAGGATAATTAAACAATTGCTTAAATAATATACGAACTAAAGGTATTATGATGACGGCAGTCACAGCTGTACGTAGTTTGTTTTTGTTGTGATGTATTAGGTTTACTTTTCAGCACTGAAAAGAGATAAAGACTTGTATATTAATGTGGAACGCCGAACTAGAAGTTTACTATTAAAGTTGAAATTGTTTAAAATTGCGTTATTATAATTTACGACGCTATATTTTTAGAGATACTATAGACGTTAAGTGGGAATCGTTTGGGAAGACCTTATTATATTATATTTATAATAACGTCGGTAGTAAAATGCAATAGCCAGTTTAAGGTTGGCAAATAATATAACATTGAAAAAAACCTGACGGAGGGAAGCCGCTGTTTACTTTTATTAATATTTTTCGTTGTACGCAAGATATTATTTATGTTTTACATAAAATAAGACCCACGGCAAAAATGTTAAAAAAAAACTTTGGACGGTTAACGATTTTTATAAAAACTGGAATAGAAATATGCTGTATGTTGAAGAAAAGTTAATTTGTCGGATGCCTTTACACGTGTGTAGAGATTAACATTAATTATGATTCTGTTACAACATTATAGTGTTTGTCTATGCTTACTTGAGCAGTATACAGCTGTTCAAAAGGTCGCGTTTTTCTATACGATATGTATTTTAATTAAGTATACTGTATAACCAATAATCCTGTATTGTCATCTTTAATGTGCATGATAAAATTCACAATTTCTCAGTATTTATCCTCGACAGTTTTCTTCGTACAAACAAATGAATAAATAATAGAAAATAGTTTTACATTTTATTTAGGTTACAATATATAAAATTATATCCAACAGAATTTTAATTCAAATAACTGTTTTGAATTTGTTTATTGTGTGGCTAATGGAGTTAGCACTATAATTAGATATTTCGAATGCTTTGGGCCAATGAGACGTGGTCTTGTTGTCCAATAATTCACTTGAACTGTGTCACACATTTTTAGAAATAATGAAGAAATTGAGAGGGTCTCTGGTACAAAAAAATAAAACAATTTAATGTAAGAACCTTTCCAGGGTAGGTACATAATATTGAAATCAGCTTACCGTTTTTTAATAAAATGTTGTGTACCTACTCATTATTGTTGTTAGATGATTTATTCGGAGATTGCAAATTATCTATGTTTGAGACAAAACAACTATATTTCATTCCGATTGGACAAACTATTTGTAGTGTAACGATGGTACTACATCGTAAAACTAAGATACAGCAACTAAACTGAATTCCTTAGGATCTATTATTAAAAGCAGATTCCCCATTTTTTAATTAAAGACATTTTTTGTTAAATTTTTTACTTAAATATATGTATGGACAAATATATGGGTTATTATTAGGAATATGGTTTAAATATAATATGCGACTTGGTAAAAAAGAATAAAAAATAGAAACACCTTTTCCAAACTTCTTTTAATTTTTCAACATAGGCGCAATTTCAATTTTAACTTGGGGGGGCTGGAAATTTTTTTTTAATTACATATATAAATAAATATATTTTTATATTTTAAAATTGTACACATAACCTAATTTTTTTGGGGGGGCTATGTCTAGCATTGGAGGGCTAATCCCACCCTAGCCCCCCGTATTTGCGCCTATGTTTTTCAATTTAAGTTATAACTTAAATTAGGTATTTAGTTGCTACAATTCATAAGACTATTGTTTTTATTATAATTATTTTATGGGTATGCAGTTAATTTTTTTTTATTATTTTGTATACTTGTAATTTGTTGTTAATTCCAATTGCAATACATTCAAATACGATTTCCGTTGCTTATTTATGAAATATGGATAATATAACACGAATCAAACGCTCTAATGACGTTTTTTTCTTACAGATAAGTCATCCCCAAGTCGGTGTTTATTTATTTACATTTTGTAATAATGTACAGAATTTTAATGATGTGACGTGACGTTGTGTGCGGGATCAATTCCAGAGTAGTTTCTAGTGCTCTTATAATTATTTATTATTTTGTTCTATGCGTGTACGCCGAGTAAAACGTCCGACGAGAGCTTGTCGTATGGAGCGGACGTTCAACTAATAGGAAGTAAAAATAAAGCCGGAAATAAAAGATGTAACATTGGTAGATATGAAATGGATAGAATGACGGCGGCGCAAACGATTCCGGCGTTGTCACTTAGGTTTATATTATTGACTCGCCTTGTCGGACAAACTTTGCCGCGATCGTGACCGAAGCCAAAATAAGGGGAAGGGGCTGCTGCTGGGGAGGTAAAGGGACGAGTCGAAGCCGGTGTTTACGATTTCCCTCTCCTGTCCCAACTGTCTTTATACATTATAGCTGTGGTACCTGCCTCCCGTCTATACCTATACCCTTTAAGCCTCGGGTTTTTACACATCCGTCTCGCGAAACAGCTCTCTGCGGTTAGGCCGGAGGGACGGCGGGCTTGGGGTTTTTACGATCACGGGACACGTTTCTTTATGACCCCGCGAGCGGTGTTTTCCATAAACTCTCCGTGCGTGTACGCCTCGAGACCTTTCGGTTTAATTAAAAACAATATACCGTTAATACCAGAGGGATTCTGGAGCGCCAGGCCCGGCTGGTCTGATCGTCGCCACCGCCAACGACAAGTCTCTGATAGCAACAACACCGCGGCCTCCGTCACGCACTAACGTTATGCCGTTCCTCGACGCCACCTTGCCCAGCTATTTCGCTTATACATGTGTGTGTGTGTACACATGTCTTTAGACATCGCCAGCCCTGTTGAGTGGTAATCACCGGCGACGGGCAATGGAAGAGCATGAACCGGCGTTTCCTCGGCTTGTTCCGGTCTACGAATAACGATCTTGACAACAATGTACTGGATCATGGTGTGTTCCGTTGGCGATGCACATAACACATTGGCGGAAAATCGTCGCCGGCGAATAATTTCCATTACATTTCACAATTGATCTCTAGATCAATCATGAGGAAATATCCGGTAGATGTAGTATTGGAGAATAGTAAATAAATAGAGTGCTTAGAGTAAATACCTCATTTCACTCTACGTGGGGATTCACAAGCTATGAGCCGATTCTCATACGACCAGTAAGATTATTTACTATACTTCTATTTCTTTACTAATAACATCATTGTTTTTTTTTTCATATTATTCGAGAAATTGAGCAATATATATTAATTATTAACTAGGTATTAACTTAATCGCCTAATTGAAAATTATAGCACCAAGGAAATATAACCTAAAGAATAGCTAGAGCTTAACATAGATTAAAAATACATAGACAACCGCAGCATTAGGCCAAGAACAAATACTTGAAAGTTTAATAAATCCTTAGTCTATTAAATTTTAATAAACCGACAAATGTTGAACTCTCTGTGCTATTTTGTGTTAGTGTTTTTAACTTGTAAACACCGCATATTCCATAATTGACTTTTAATTATTGTTAATTTCGATTGAAAGTGTTGTTGATTTTAAATTGTCTTGGTATATACCACCAAGTTTTGTTATTAAAACGCAATATCGCATATTATACTTCAATCCGTTATAAACCAAAAAGGGGTCTTTTCAAATAACGCCAGTCTGAGTTTTGAATAATAACTTCTTGGGTTATAAAAATTGAGAAAACAAGTTAGTTTAGTTAATAAGTTTAAAAGTGAAAGTAGTGGCTGATTACTATACTGCGTCGTCTTCTTAAAGGGGAAATGAATATTACTCGAAAAATAATTATTCAAAACTTTTTTTTCTACCATTAGTTTGTTTTGGTAGATAACTAAAAGTTACCAAAAGTTTGTTTAAAGTATATAAAAAAAATTACAGGTTAGTGGTTTAAATTATAAAGTTAATATATGTTTATTGTTTTTAAATTAGTTAGGGAGTAGATTGGAGAACACTTATTGTGTATACATTATGTTGAGAACTTAGGTTTAAATGGATTCGACGAATCAGCTGTTAGCGTTTATAAAACTTTTAAGTTTTTGTAGGTCCTTTTGTTGGTAAATTACTTTACTTTCGTCATACGAGACGTACTATGATAAAACCGT